ATACTGCAGCAAATATTACCCAGTTAGCACGCTATTACTTATCACTACATGCATTAACTACTTGTAAGCATTGTGATCTGGTCCTGAGTGTTTGTACAGCAATTTAACCACATATGTTCCAGAGGTTTCTGAGGCATCCTGTAGCCTCCATCACTATTTTTTTTAAGGGCCAATTACAATCGATCCATTAATTGAATCCCAGAGTATATCAACAATAGATATAGTTTTCAAAATGTATCGGTCATGTTACGCATAACATAAGTTTAAGTTCAGCAGAAAATTAAATCTGTAATCAGTTTTGGCATGGCCAGCTGGGTAGAAGGGTGGGATAGGGGAGGCCAGAATGTAACACCCATGAACATGGTATGATTGCTGCACTAGAGAGAAGGCAGGTATTTCATTGACATGCTCTAAAACAATTATGTAGTTTATCTTATGACAGAATTCTTTTAATGAATCCAATGAGAAAATTTCAGTGGCTCACCCATAATGTACTATTTAAGCATTTTGAGATCAAACAGTCACATCCAGCACAAGACAGTTTACAGAAACTACTTTGAAAGGATTACATGTAAATTTTGCACAGTATCGCTCTGTATTCATCATACTTCATTTTGCCTTGCAGGTCAGGTCAGAGTTTAGGAAGAAATGGCAGTTGTGGAGGATGGACAGGACAGCATCTCTCTGTTTTCGATGACTTGAGCCTTCCCCATATCTCCCACCAGAAGTAGCTTGGATATGATGGATTTCAGGAAAAAGGCGTACACAGTAAATGAAAGAGGGGTTCATGTAGATGTGAATGTGACGGGAAAGAACAGTTCACAAGAAGTTACATTGTAACTGATGATAACGACATCTATATATTTTTCTCTCCATCCTCTTGGAGATGGAGAAAAAACAGCTCCCAACCTAAATGTCCTTCAAAAATACTCACCTCCCCCCCATTTAACCCCTTAAGGACCAAACTTCTGGAATAAAAGGGAATCATGACATGTCACACATGTCATGTGTCCTTAAGAGGTTAAAAAGAAAAAAAATCTCTCCATTCTCCAAACTATAAGCTATTGATTTTCAAACTTAATCGACCATTCAAGAACTCTACCAGTCCAACCATGGACTTAAATGTCCTCATTCACTTCTACTGTAACATCACCCTTCTACATATTTTACAAACTGGACCTAAATGCCTTCCTTGCTACTCCATATCACCATATTTAACCACTTACTCACTTTTCTATCCAACAGATCATTGATAACTTTACTTCCTGTTGTCACAAATATTTCCTACTCTGACTTCTAGCTAACCCTTCTCCAGTAGTCATATCAACCCACCTAATTCTATTATTTTTTTTAAAATAAATTTTATGTTTAACGGTTTTATGAAATTTCTGATGGTGTAAACCGCTTACTCAATAACGACATAATCTTTACATGTGAAGTTCCCAAACAAGGGCACTGTTTAAAAAAAATCGTTAACAAAATAAACAGAAAACATCCACAAAGCAGGAGATATATTTAAAAAGTTTATTCGGAACCATGCTCAAGGTTGTTCTTGTGATTTTATTAGTAAAATTATTCAATTTGCAGCATATTTTCCATGATGCGATTAGCCTTCATAGCAACTGAGAATGGGCTTCAAAATCCAATCACATGTCCACTATGGAAGGCACTTTGATATAAGCAGTCTTGCCACATGCAATTACACTGAAACTGCACGCAAGCAGTGCTCTCAGCAAGGCAGGAGCTACACTTGCCAGCTAAAACTTTCATTTTTGTATGTGTTTTTTTTTTCAATGCAAAGTGTGGAAAACTTTTACCATGTATAATTATCAGAGTAAGATTGTGATCATAACTTAAAATGTAAATACACATTAAAGTTGCCAGGTACCTGGAGTGTCACTTTAAAGTCGGTAACACCCATAATTATGACTAGTAAAGGATGTTACCTAGGTTCACCTGTGCTGAATAACACACGTTCACAATATGCAAGCAGCATCTGAACGTAAAGTTCTAAATGATCTTAAAATGTTCTGTAGGTAAAAGAGCCACATGCAGCTCCTGGGCCACAGAGACTGCATTGCTTGGCCCAAATCACAGTAGAAGCACATAGAGAATACAATAAAATGATCATGTGCAGTTTATTCTTGTGAGGGTATAAAAACGATGCTACACTGTATATATAAAACATTTCCCATGCAGAGTTTGGATTCATTGTGGGTTATGGACAAATGACCCATTCTTGAACAAAGTTCTAAATGTTAATTTGCCCCCAACAGAATCCAAAGCAATGTTTCTGCTGGCTGATGCACATGTGAAACTTTGCATCAAAAAACAAATAATGTTCCTTTACACATAACCATTATTAACCCCTCTGTAATAAAAGACCTATTTTGAGCAGAATACAATATATTCTTTAAAATACATGCAATCAGCCTATTTCACCATTCCTTTAAAGGCTTTTGCAGATCAATTCATCTAAAAACGTCTATTAAAAAGGCTCGGTGCTCTCCTCCATCTCTTCTTGAAGAGAGCGCTGTAGGACGTCGCAATAAAACTGCCAGCCCGACCCTTACCACCTCTCTACCCAGCAATCACGGTGTGCTGTAGTGGTCGGACAGTAGTCATCAGGCAATATAGGCACATTGTACCACTGTGAGCACAATGCTCTGGCATTAGATATCTTCGGGGTGGAGAACTTCACCCGCCGTCTGAGGTATAGTAAAAATCGCTCCTGGAAAGGCAAAACAAGAAATATAGGGTTTAAGGATACCAAACAGTTCTAGGGCAGAGTTCTAAAAGGGAGGTAACCACAATGGAACATTTCTGATAATTGCTCCATTTTTTTTTTTTTAGCACAGTCATAAAGAGATGCTTTCATTTGGAAACAACTATAAATTTGAGTTTCTCAAGAATTTTGAGTTCCTAGACAGGTCGCTTGAAACGAACAACTAAAAATCATGGTGTTATACCATAACAACAAGGCAGGTATATCAATGATATGCAGTGGGTGGCTTCTCTAGGGAAAGAAAATGAATGTGAGAAAAAAAAAAAAAACCCCACACAACATCACAAGAGCTAAAACACATGAATAAAAAGGTCAATAGTACTAAAAGTACTTAAGATGCGTTGGTATGTCCCTTAAAGTTTAGGTAAAAATTAATGGAACCAATTGTTGAATTCTTTAAAAATCCCTTACCATTGAATCCACATCATAATAAGCACAATACATAAAACACAGATCAAAACAATAAGAAAGGAAACTACTTTTATAATAACTGTTGGTCACCGGGGATAGTTACTCAATCATTACCAACATAGCACAAACCACACTAAAAGTGAAAAGTGTTAACAGCAAGCAAATGGGTTGTGTTCCATAACCATGCTTTGAAGATTCTACTTCCCAAAGTTTAGGTACGATGAAACCTATGATAGAACCTGATTTTTCTAACGTGGACACTTGTGCTGACTGGTCAGCCTGTCTCACCTCACAGGTCAGGGATCCGGCCACTTGTGTCGTCCCTTATCTGCTTTTTTCATCTTCTCCACGTTTTCCTGTACAGCTCGCAAGGCTTCCTCTGCAGAGAACACATTAAGAGTTTTTTTTTTTACATATATCTACTCTGAGACTGTATGGGTGTAAAGTGCAATCTTATAAAGAGTTTTACACACATTGGCCAAACAGGTGCCTAAAATAAGACAAGCACATTGCCAATTCTCACCTAAAATTGTGGTGCTTTCCTCCAGAGACGCTGAGAGCTCCAGCATGCTCATGGACGTCAAAGAGGCCACATCCAGTCCTAAAGCAGATATAATAAATGTCAAAGCTGTATGGTCCAAAATGGCAAATTCAGTAATTAAAGATACCCAAAGCATTCTCCTTACTAAATCTGCCAAAACTGAATTTTCCATTTCTTTTAAACTTCTCTGTGTTGGAGTATAAGGGAGGGAAAAACAGAGCTGGCCAGAAGATCTCTACGGAGAAGATTAACCCGATAGGTAGTAAAAATGGCCATGTGACAGGACAGGTTAACTCCTAAATGGTTATGGCACATATGGAATAATCCTAACAAATATCAATGAATAATGTGTAATACTATAAATAAAAACTTCAACACCAGTAAAACAATGGATATTCCTGTTTTAAAAACAGATGTAAGTTGCTGTACATGTCTTAAGGACTTCCTCGCCATGCATTTTTGTCGCCTGCATCATTTTGACGTGGCAAGTTACTTAGATCTAGCTAGTAGCAGAGGATTCTAAATTTTGAGTCCTGGTATACATATTGGATTAAGTATTTCGTTTTAGTGGTCGCTACACAAAAGAATTACTAGCCCAGATTCCTGGGCAGAGAGGCAACTATACCACTATGCTGGTACATTAAAGTCAATAGGTTTAATCTCCACAGACCTGCAGCCTTTGAGCCTTGAACTCTTGTCCTGGGTACAGTTGGTTTACCCAGACGATGGGATAGTTCTTTCGTACAGCACCTTAAAACACAAGTAAAGGGTTCTCCCTGTTTATGGGCTCAATACTCTGAGACAGACTTTTTATACCACATTCAGTGCCAGTGGATAGAGGAAGGCATTTGTTTACTAGATATTTAAATTGTTAAAGAACAGAAAATTTTGATGGTATAGGTTGTTTGGGATAAAATTTCAAAATTAAAATCTTACATTCAGTATGCTAGCATAAAAATCTTTTAGGACCAACTTTTCATTACAGCACAGATCTGAGAAAGTCCAGGCACCATGCAACTTTAATGCATAGATATTGGCCTCATTAAAGGAACACTATAGTCACCAAAATAACTTTAGCTTATTTTAGGAGTTAAATCATTTTGTTTATGCCACACACCTCCCTGCATGTTACTTAAACAGGCATCCTAAAAACTTCCTGTAAAGTAAGATCTAAGGTTTAAACTTCCTTTATTGCAGCGTATGTTTTATTTATAAGGTCATAAGTCCTATTAATAGCCTTCTAGATCAGGAGCCTCCTGTATGTGATTAAAGTTCTTTTTACACAACAGGAGATAAAAACTTCTAAAGAAAGTCAATATCTGAAAATTAAATACATTTTTCCATGTAGGCTGTGAGAGTCAAAGCCAAGGGAGATGTGGTTGGAGCGGCTTAAATAATAACACAAGTGATTTAACTCCTAAATGGCAGAGCATTGAGACTGCAGGGGCATGATCTATACACCAATACCTGCTTAATTAAGATAAGTTGTTTTGATGCCTATATAATCCATTTAATATACTGTATTATTTTTGCATGCTAAATCTTTATAATTTTTGCACAAATAAATAAACGGTATTGCAAAATGCTGCACCACATGTCATGATCCCTCAGGCCAGAAATACATCCTTATACGCGGTTTATTATTCACAACCTGGCCGCAGGCAGTCAGAAAACGTTAACAGGTATTAATATCCTTACAATAGGTCTTCCTGGGGGTCCGGTCTTTTTAATGCAGGCTGCTTTGTAGTTATGATCACTGCGTGCTATCAATAACGTAGATGTCGAAATACATTTGATTAGCAAGTCTTTTTCTGGAGTGAAAGGTCTTCGCTACGGGGGCGGGCTTACGGTGGAACATTCTGCAAAGCATTCATTTTTATTGTGTGCCAAAAACTATAAAGATTTGAGACATGCACAACAATACAGCCAAAACAAATGCACTAAAGTTGTAATATTTTTTTTTTTATAATTAAATAGGAAGGGTGCATTGAGATTACTATCCTTTTCAAGTATGTATTGGTGCCCAGAGAATTGCTTAAGAGGTGAATTGTGTGAATGTCATGGTTTAAGAAGATCAGATTGGTGAGGGTCTATATCTGCCAAAATGTTATTATTTCTGACAAAGCTTTTTAGTTACCTGAGCCGAGTCATGGCATACTGTGTATCTGTGACTAACTGGCACGTTGCCTGAAGTTTGCCCCAGACGGCTCTGCAAGTGGTGTCCTGTTCCATTAGACAGCTTTCAGCCACAGCTCTTAGCTCCCTCTCTTGAGCTACCTGTGCTTTTAGAAGGTCTGTTTCTTCACAGTTCTATAGGTCAAAGACACACAGAGTTACAGACTCAAGTCGACTCGAGTTGGCTAGCACATAGAATTCTTTTCATTTGAAATTCCCGTTAAACTACGGACAGTTCAAACCTTAATGAATAACCCTAATGGACAAAAAGAGTAATGCACATACTAGGACATGTGACTGGTATGTTCATAACTCATGTTATCAATACAGAAGCTTTTAAAAGGACACCATAGTCACCAGAACAACTACAGCTTATTGTATTTGTTCTGGTGAGTATAGTCACTAACTTCAGGCTTTTTGCAGTAAAGAAATGCAGTATTTACATTACAGTCTAGGGATAACTCCACTGGCCACTCCTCAGATGGCTACTAGAGGTGCTTCCTGGGGCAGTGCCGCACAGTATGATTGACATTCAGTGTCCCCAACCTCTGCATGGAGTCACTGAACTTTCCTCATAGAGATGCATGGATTCAATGCAGTTCTATGAGTAGATTATGAATGGCCACGGTGGTGTTTTTCTCTGCCCCTAGCCCACCTCCTTGGCGGAGATCATCAGAATTGACAATCTCAGATTGGCTGAGATTATCATTTTTAATTAGGTCAGCCAAGGAGGCAGATCAGGAGCAGAGACAGCACCAGCAGACTGGAATAAAGGTAAGATTTTACCATATTTTAGGGAGGGTGGGGGATAGTGTTTTTAACACTATAGGATCTGGAATAAAGGTTAGTGTTCCTTTAAACTCCACCCACTACATCCCAATAATACTCCTTTTATTGGACTACATCATTGGGCATGCCAAGCCCTCCAGTTGCCCATAATATATAAACAGAGGCAGAGCATGTCCAGAGTCAGCTACTAAACATATAATTTACCTTATGGAGCTGTATAGCCAGTTCTTGCATCTCTGCTTCCAGGCGGTCAGCGTATGCCTGCTCCAGACTGTCACCTGGGAGTCGGGCAGAACTATGCCATCGGGCAATGGCTGATGTCATCTTCCTTTTGGGACCAAATAGGCTGTAAAAGCAGTAGGGAAAATCTAATTATTGGGCAAGATGTGCAGATTTCTCATTGTCTGGTTAGATTATGGGGTTCAGTCAGCACACATGGGTAAGGGTGTCAGTTGGCATTAATTGCTTGATGTTGAAACCGTCACCATGCTAATTCTTTCCTGAGTAAAGTCAATGCCTCGAAAATAGATTCCTCAGCTATAGCACACAACGCTGATGTGGACACCTTTCTGTGCAGATTTGACAAACATTTATAAAAAGGCATTCCAGGCAATACATTAGCCTAGGATTCTGACACAGGTTATGATGTAAAGGGGTTGCTTGTCTCTGAAGCTCAGTCTTACAGCCGCCATCACAGGTAATAAATGCTGCAGCTGTAAACCAGCCCCCCAACTTCAAATACATCAATGGGGAAGCTATGCCATCCCTTGATAATACAAGTACTTGTACAGAGTGAGTCTGTAATGTGCAAACTCCACTCATGTCTCCATCATCACTAATAGGTTTTTTTTTTTTTATAAAGATGCTTTTTTTTTTAATTCTTTATTTTTCGTGCAGTAGAGTTTACAAACAAGCCTGTGGTGCCACGACAGCAGACACAGGCGGATTGATGCAGACAAGGTCGTGACAATATACAATTGCACATTTTTGTTATAAGACAGGTTGTGTAAGTTAGTGAAGTCGTTGCGATTAAAATAATTGTATCGGCAATTGTGAGACATCGTAGGAAAGAGTGACTAATATACAGAGTATAAACTACGCCGTTAAATTACCAACATGCTTGTGAACATATGCTGAACTAAAGGGTGTGATAATTCAAGCCTAGTCGCATGCATGGTCGGTTATGAGCATTTGCATCCAGTTTAAAAGACAGAATGCTTGAAAAGTTGTAACAAGTTAAGGCTGGCTGTGTCATAGGAAAGAGACATTTAAGAGTTAATGAGAACTTTCTGAAGACCTGACACTGAGCGATAACATAACAAGATATGGCAAACTGCAGAGGTAATAAACATTAAAAAAAAAGGAATAAATTTAAATGTAAATGCAATCAACATTATAACACTCTGGTTTTTGTCTCTCTCTTTTTTCCTTTTTTGTGTGAAATCCTGTCGGGGTGTCGCATGAGTGGAGTGGCCACTGGGCTGTGGGTCGTAAGAGTGGTACGGGTAGTAGGCATTCCTGTGACCAGGTATATGCCCCTTCCCTCAGAGAGCGTTTATGGATTCTGTGCATCTTTAAGGGTTAGGGAAGAGATGGGGGGAGAGAGTGGCAGTAGTGATGTCCGTAGGTGTCTGGACGGTCTTGTATGGGAAAGTATGCCTTCTGTGTAGGTCCTGGATTGAACGGCTGTGCAACGTTATTGCTCCGCTCAGTGCCCCTTCTAGTCAGGGACGCCTGCAGAAGACTGAATGGGTGGGAGTGTGGCAGAGGTGAAAAATGGAGCCAGAAAATCATACCAACGAAGTTTAAACAATTATAACATGTGTGAGTCCATCCTATTGTCCTGATGTCAGCAGGATTGGTAGGGAAAAACAACTGGGCAAGTTCAGTGGGGATCGTGGGTGGGGGCTCGGCATCTGCCGGGGCTCGATAACCCCTCACTTAGGTCACAGTTTCAGTAGACGTAGTGGGTCTCGCCGCTCGGGGTATAAACTCCCTAACTGAGGCCAAGTCCACCTGTGACAGGTTCCCTCCTTCCGAGGTGTTACATAGCGGTATGTTCAGTGACCGCAGGTGTTCCTCCAGCTCCCGGTAGGTTTCTGCCCGGAGTGTGTTGTCTTGGGCCGCTAGGAGGACTGTACGGTACCTCATTTGCACGTAGCTGCTGGAGTAGTGGTTTCAGGGACCGGCGCCACAGAAGTGTGTTCCTAGAGAGATCTGGGAAGAGGTGCAGTGAGGCGCCCTCAAAGGCAATGGGTGTCTTCCCCCTCATCGCGGCTTGCACTAGGGCCCTATCCTGTAGGGAACTGAAGCGGAGGATGAGGTCCGGAGCCGTGGCTGCCGGTGCGCTGGCTGGCTTGGGGAGGCGGAACATACCGTCCAGTTTCAGGCTTTTAGCTTGTTTCGGGGGTAGGTGGGCCGCCAAGAATCTCCTGATAAAGTGTGGTAAGTCCGGCAGGCCCACCGTCTCCGGCACCCCCCTGAGTTTCAAGTTGTATCTGCGCCTCTGATCTTCCTGGGCGTCCAGTCTGCGATCTATCTGCAGCCTGTGCTGGTCCAGGGCCGCCAGACCTCTCTCCACCACGGTAAGCCGGCTCTCATGTGTGTTTTGGGTGGTCTCGAGTTGGGCCACTTTAGTAGTCGTGTGTTCAACGGCTTTTCTGAGGGGGGCCAAGTCTCCCGCCAAGTTTGCGCGGAGTTCCGCCAGCATCGCCTTGAGTTGCGCTGCAGTGACCGGATCCCGGCCTGTTGTGGTCTCCATTGGGGTATGACCCTTCTGTGCAACCTGGGTGGTTCTGTCCATCGGAGCTATAGTCATATCTTCCGATGAGTATGAGGAGCCGTCGTCTGCCAGCGCCATTTTGTCCCATGCGGCCCTTTGTGAGCTCCGGAATAGGTCCCCGATATCCCGGCCCGGCGGACTCCTGTCAGGCTTGGGTTTTTTATTTTTGCGGCCCATCCTCGGTCTAGTGTCCAGGGAGTTGGGTTTTGTGAGGTTGGGTGATCCCTTGTCTGCAATTATAGCTCTTTTTAGGCAGTTTCGAGCGGAGCGCAGCGAGCTTGCGACCGTCCAGGTTCACCGCTAGGCTCCGCCCTCATAAAGATGCTTTTTTGGTTGCCAACTTGAATGATCATGACCAGCACCAATCACGAATAAACACGACTGGACTAGTACCAAGCTAGCATAAACTAGAACTACATACCCCATTAATCCCTTTTATGTAGCAACATCAGCAACTTCATAGGAAATCTGTTACACCTGTAACCAAGTCATTGCCATCCTCAGAAATAAACTGGCCCGAGCTCAGTCACTATGTGTGGGTTGTGAGCATTGGTGACCTTATCACTGGTACAGATGATTAAATGCTTCTCTTATGTATTTTTGAGTTATGTATATAACATGGTCTGTTGATCTTATTTTTTGGGCGTCCTGCGCTATTTGTACCTCATTCATTTTATTGAGGTTCTTATACTTCTGCTGCGGAGGATTATTGATCCATAGATATATGAAGAAAACTAGATTTATATTGAAGCACTCTAATAGTTGGGTTTGTGAGTGCAATTTAAAAAAAAAAATTGACAATCTTTATTTGTGTTGATATTTTATATTTTCCAACAATATACAGTAGAACTACAAGTAGTCTATTGAGCAAAGTAGATGGACAGAGGCTTCTGTATAACAGGACAATAGGTTGCACATATGTCATTGTCAAACAAGTGTGGACATACAAGCTTATAAGGTTACAAGTATAAAGTTAAAGCATAGATTAGTCTAACAATTGGACAGTTTTAACTGAACATGTCATCGCTAGTGATGTCGCGAACCGTTCGCGAACTTTCCGCGAACAGCTCGCTGCGGTTCGCCACGAACCGTTCGTGGCGAACTCCGGTCAGCTGACACATCCCGGCCAATCTCCAGCAGACCCTCTCTCCCAGACCCTCCCACCTCCTGGACAGCATCCATGTTGAAGGCAGCTTGTTGATCCTGCCCTCTGTCTGTACAGTTTTGGTGCGTACCCAGATTTTGGCCGTTGGTTGGGCATGCCAGTCAGTAATCTTGAGTAAATGCGTGGCTCGATAGTATCAAAGGATTGATGGGAGCCCAGTATCTCCCCGATGTTTTGGTTGTTCCAGTTGGGCTTTGCTTACTCTTAGTGCTCTCCGGTTCCACACAAATTTTCTGATAGCTGTGGTTATCGATTGAAAGAATGCTCTAGGGAGTGTGATCGGGTTTGTCTGGAACAGGTGTAAGAGGCATGGGAGGATGTTCATCTTGATCGCGTTGATATGGCCAAACCAAGAAATGTAGAGGTCAGCCCATTTATGCATGTCTGCCTGTAGGGTGGCGAGAATAGGGACGAAATTTGCTTGGTATAGTTGGGACAGCTCCCTGGGTAACCATATGCCCAGGTATGTAAGCTTTGTTTTCCACCATGTAAAATGGAATTGCGACCGGAGGAGCGACCCCATTTCTGGGGAGAGGCAGAGATATTGATGGCTTTGGACTTATCTATATTAAGTTTCAAGTTCGATATCAGTCCGTACTCCCAGAAAATGCGTAGGAGGTTGGGCAGGGAGGTCAGTGGCCTTTCCAGGAAGAAGAGCATGTCGTCAGCGTATGCCGCTACACGGTGTTCCATGTGTCCCAAGCTGTACCCAGAGACTCCCCCATCCAGGAAATGTTCCAGGGAAAGGGTAATCAGGAGAGGGGAGATGGGGCATCCTTGTCGTGTTCCGTTCCTGATAGGGAACACATCTGAGAGTGCGCAGTTTATCCTTATTTGCGCGCGATGGGGGTCGTGTATAGGAAGGATATCCAGGTGCGCATGTGGGGACCGAATCTCGTATGTTGTAGTGTGGCCTCGAGGTAGGTCCTGTCCACCTGGTCAAATGCCTTCTCCAAGTCAGTTGAAAAGAGGACCGGCCCCTTTCCCATGACCGGGCGGAGTGGATTATGTTGAGGGCTCTGATGGTGTTGTCCCTCGCCTTTCTGCCGGGAACAAATCCCCCTTGATCCGGGTGTACAAGGTTGTGCAGTACCTTGGATAAGCGTAAGGCCATGACTTTCGCGAATAATTTAAGGTCAGTGTTCAAAAGTGAGATAGGGTGGTAACTTGCACAACACGCAGGGTCCTTCCCCTTGTTCGGTATAATCGTCACTATTGTTCGAAGTGAGTCGTCTGGAAACTGTCGTCCAGTCAGGATGGAGTTGGTACCTTCTAGTAGGTGTGGCAGGGCTGTCTTTAGAGCGGGGAAAAAAGGTCAGCTGCCCCCGGCACAGTTGCTCCTGGAGGGCACAAAGCAGCTGCCTCTTGAGCCCCGCTGCCCACAACAATTTGCAAAATATTTTCCCTCCCGATCCTTCACTATGTGTGCGGCATCGATGCATAGTTTAGGACAGACTTGCTCCTCCCCCAGACCTCCCCTGTAGCGTACGCACGTTCCATGACGGCACGCAGAGGCGGAATCACGCCAACGCTAAGGTGAGGCCCGGGTCATAGTGCAGCGGCATTAGTTTCCTTCCAGAACGGCAGAGCGCACCTCCCACCCTTTCCGCCCTGATCCCTGAGCCTGCTGGTGTCTTCACAACTGTAAATAATGAATTCCTATTAACTGGAATAAGGGGAGCTATTACTTGTTTGAGGGAGAGCAGGGGGTGGGTGGGAGGTTAGTATAGTATAATCTGTGCATCTAAAAAAATTTAAATAAAAGTAATCTGCAAAATACAAAATTTTTGTGTTAGAAGTTAAGCTAAAAAATCAAGCTAGGAATGTGCTTTATTTATTAATTTCTAGAATAATGATACACCATTTTATTTCATACATTTGTGCAGATTTTTCTTTTTAAGGATTTTCTCACAAGTGACATTCGCTTTTTCTATTTTTTTTATTTAAGAAGTGAGCCATGTAGATTTAGAAATTCTGAGCCCTGCTAGTAAAATCATCTACTGTTTAACTTATGTACGCAGGAATATTCAAGGGACACTATAGTCACCAGAACCACTACAGCTTAACGTAGTAGTTCTGCTGTCTATAGCAGCGTTTCCCAATTGGTGTTCCGTGGGGGTTCCGCGAAACCAAATTGGGGTTCTGAGGTGATTTGCCCATTTGGTGGCCCATGCACTTATGGATGGGCATTGCTGCACAGGGAAGCGGCTGATTAATAGCAGATGCTGGGAGCAAGTGACGGACAGTCATGTCCGCCCAGCTTCATATAGAAAACGCCACGCTGGAGGCAGAGAGGCAACAGCCGGGAGTGAGCAGCAAGTCATCCTCCTGCAGATAACAGGTATGCTAATAGGAGGGTGACTGCAAATATAAAAAATGACGTGTGTGTAGATCTAGCATTGCATTATTGGCAGGGAAACATTAGCTGAATGCCAGTGGTAGTGCGCCGCTGAAGCGAGAATACTTGCAGTAAGACGTTAATTAGTTGTGTGCCAGTCCTTATCCATCCTCCGCGGTGGCTTGGTGGCCTGTGCTTCTCCCGCAATGGGCAAGTTCCATTGATGTAGGAGTTTCACTCAGTCTTCTACTGTGTGGATGACTGTAGTAGTCCCATTTCTGGAGACTATCAGGCGGATAGGAAAGCCCCAACGGTATAGGATGCGGTTTGTGCGTAAGGTCTTTCACTGTCGCAGGGTGGCCGCAGAAAGATCTGAGAAAATCTTGATACAGGTGTATTGGACTGGAAGATCTTTCAAGGTTCTGCTCCTCTTCATCAGTAGATCTTTCACATGAAAGTAGTGTGCCTTCAGCAGCACGTCTCTGGGTAATGATGCAGAGACTTGTTGGGGTTTCGGAACCCTATGCAGGCCGTCCAATAACAGCATATCCGTGGGGATCTCGGGGACCAAGTGTTTGAAAAAGCCATGCACGTGACTTGATAGGTACGCCGGTATTCCCCGCAGCCTTATGTTGCTCCTTCTGGATCTGTCCTCAAGGTCCATGAGCTTTCCTCACATTGGTGCAATTGGGCATTGAGGGATCTGATCTGCTCTGTGTATGTGTTGTGCGCATCGACCAGGTCCCTTATTTTGGTCTCCACGTGCGTTGTGCGGGACCCGATGTCTTGCAAGTCACACAAGGGTCCTCTGGTCTCCCGATTCCGATCATATGTACAGATGGGGTCCGTTGCGTGGGGGTTGTAGTAACCAGTTGAGTTTGGGTTGTGGTGGGATTAGGAAGGCTACCGCATGTGCCCAGCCCACGTTAACTGCATCGTATTTCATGAGCCGTGGTGAACCAAATTTTGAAACAATGCAACATCACATGTATATGTAGGCAATAACAACAATGGTTTCCTGGGCCATTGTGGCATTTGTCCGCCCACCTATAACTGGCTGTACCTTTTCAAGCAGATAGCCCAATGGAGGCCCAGTGCCCATATTCTCCCACCCAAACCACATCTCCCTCCCAGCGCCAGTATCACAGCCATGGCCCACTAAGGGGAACACAACCCTGGAGGGGGCGATCAAGTGTCACTGGGGTAGCGGGGCTTTGGGTGTACATACCCCACATGGACTGTACCCATCCTGACTCCGAGGCGTTAAGGGAAAATGGGGGTGCCAGTGTCCCGGAGTCAGTCACTTCATGTAACAGGTAGCTCCAGTCATGTGGGTACATGCCACCTTGGCCATTCAAGGCTTTAGTCTTCGGGACGATCTGGTCTGCCTCTCTGCTGGGGCACTGCCCCTGGATGGGCAAGGTCGGTCAGGTCTCTCCGATGGGCTGGGGCGTTGTGGGGGTCCAAGATCAAGTTCAGCTTGTAGGCTCAGGGCTCGCAGGAACCCAGCTAGATCATTCCGCCATCTAAGGGTGCGCCAGGAGTTATCTTTACGAGCCTGCAAGCTAAATGGGAAACCCCGCTTGTAAGGTATGCTCCATTCTTGGAGCAGGTGGGTGAGCGGTCTCAGGGCTCAGCATGCGTCCAGAGTCAGCGAGGAAAGATCCTGATACAGGGAAACCTGTGCATCTCAGTAATTAATGGCTCGCGGACGTGCAGCAGTCCTTAAGTTGGAATAACAGCAGGCAGCAAATGACATCACAAGGGAGACCATCGCTCCTGGGTGGCCAGAGTGCTCCCAGTAGCGATGGTTGGAGTTACGGAAGAACCGAGCCCTGCCTAGAGGTGGCATTGAGAGTGTTGGGAGGCCTGCAGGCAATCAGCTACCAGCTCCTTGACCCTGTGCTCGTGGGCGGTGAGGTCTCTCCACACTTCCTGGACTTCCTCCCTTATCACTGAGGAGTGCAGTTCGGCTACTAAGGCTGTTTTGTCAGCCCTGGTGAGCATGTTGGCCGATATGATGGCCAGCTCGGCGGAGATCTGGGCTAGGGATTCATCTCGTAGGGAGGCCGGCAGTAAGTCCACCATGCTTTCCACGCCAGCGGAATTCAGCGTCATTTTGTCAGCCAGCCGCGTGTGTCGGAGGTGGACGGAAATTCATCCATATGTGAACCCGAGCTGGAGGCTCCAGGAGTTGCCAGGCATCGGGATTCCCCATTTTGAAGGGTATTTCGTTAATTATTAGGGGCTAAGTGGGCTGAGGTAGCGGAGCTTCTGGTGTGTGCATCTGACTCCATGTACTGGTTAGCCACACCCCCCTGTGAGTGCAATGTTATGCACATAGGTGGTGGTGGTTTCTAAGGGCATTGCATCATTATCGCTTTCATTTTATAGGGTTTTGCGGTTTCTCTCTTTGTTTGTTTGTGCAGTCACAATGTGTGTAAGATTCCTTCCACACTTAAAACAGGTGATTGTCACTTACGTGATGCCAACTTCCCGCAGGTCAGTCTCTGTGAGGGTGAGGAAGATTCGCAAATTCACATCTTGCTCCTGGAAAACTGGAAGGTACTTAGAGCAACCGATCTGATCCAGAAGTTCTGCCAGATCCTAAAGGAAGAAAGAGTTAGTTACTATACATCTTCTAATTAGAGTGTGGAGAGAGGTAGAGAGATAGCTAGGTGCCAAATAGACAGTGGTGAGACCAAACACAATAGCACTTCCAACAGTGCAAATAGAGAAATTACTGTTGTGCATCACCTGCATATCTCAAAGAGGACTTTGGAAAATCCTCCTTGGGCACATAAAGTCAAGAAATCATGTTTCCACAACTATCCCAGAGTGGCATGCAAATGAGCACAGACAGTCATTGTGTTTCAGGCTTCACTCTGCATTTCTGCAGATACATTTAGAAAACGGGCACCGTTTTAAAAATACAGCTCTTTTAAACTAAAAGGATATCTTTGAATGACTTGTAAATCTTTGACAAAATATAACTTTTCTTTTTTTTTTTATACAAAGACAGGCTTACAAAGCACTAGACCTTCAGTCTGTTCCAAATGCAAAATCATAGCAATACATAATAAATGGATTCATCGTTCACATGGCATTATCACAGCACTGCATCACTAGAACATACAGTCTAACGCATTGCACTGGTCGTATACAAGGATTAACAAACGTATCACATTGCTTTTCTAGCATTTAACACAGCGTTGTGTTGCTCACTTGCAATAGCCTCCCAATGCTTTCCAGTGGGAAAACACTGGATTGGCTGAACTCATCATGGAGGAGAGGTCAGTCACAGTGTGGGAAAATAGGTGAGTAAAATCACCTTTTTACTGCGATTGGAGGGGGGCTGTTCACAGGACTATAGTGTCTGGAATACATGATTGTATTTATAACACTATAGGGTTCCTTTAAGTAAAGTAGTTCCCTTTTTATCATAGAAAGACAAACAAGTTGTTTTGGTGTATAGCTCATGTCCTGCACGCTCACTGTTCAATTATCTGTCATTTAGGAGTTAAACAACTTATTTCTGTTTATGCAGCCCTAGCCACACCTTCCCTGGCCGAGATTCACACTTCTCCCGACACCTTTTGAAAAAAGAAAAAAAAAAGAAAATATAGGTCTAATTTGTTAGCATCCCTTATTGCAGTGTGTTTAGTTTAGAATTGTATATCTCTGGCTCGATTAATAGCCTACTAGAGTCTTAGTAAAAAGTATTAAAGTTCACTGAACAGACCATAACTCAAATTAAACACACTGTGCTGTAAGATCGGATTGTGTGTCACAGTCAGGGAAATGTGACTACGGCTGCATAAAGAAAAACGAAAGAGATTTAAATCCTAAATTGAATTGAGCAGTGAGACTGCAGGGGGAACAAAACTGCTTCATATCCCTTTCATAAATAAATCCTTATAATCCATGCCACAAGTAGTGGAATATCACATCCCACAAATTAGGTGTACCTTTGGCCCGGTGTATTCTGGAGATTCTTGAATTGGTATTTTTGGCATACGACCATTTGAGGCTCTGACACAGGGGTGTAAATCCCCATTTCTCATTTTCCCCTTGCTGTGTGTTTTGGAGGCTTTACGGCTGATGGTTTCCAAGGCTGGATCAGAATCCTGGGGGAAAAGGGAAGATCAGTGTTACTGCTATTCCCAATTCTTTAAAAAAGCCACTATAACAGTAAATAAAGAGAAAAAATTATGGACCCACTCAACATTAAAAAAAAAAAAAGTGTATGTACCTCATTACTTTCTAGAGATGCTTCGCTGCTCACACCACTTTTAGGGCATGGTCCTTCCCTGCTACTACTGTCCCCCTCATCTGAATGGAAAATTAAAAAGAGGCTCTGGGTTTGTGAAAAAAAACCAAAAAACATAAGAATTAAGCTGAACTCTATTTTAGAAGGTCAGTATTTCAGGTTTGATTACTATCCCAATGACATACCTCGGCTACTTCCATTGCTCTCCACATCATGCTCGTTGATAGGGGATGTAACATCCCGAAAACGCAGGTCTTCATCTAGTTCAGAGTCATGGTCTAAGTTATTGAAGGTGACATATCCCTGAGGAGGCAGCTTGCCTGTGCCTACAAGAATTTCACAATATGTTACACTGCACAAGCAGGTCCTGGATATTATAGATAATCCAAACTGGGGGTGTCAAACTCAGACCCTTTGCTCCCATCAGCTAGTGGGCAACCCCCAGAATTCTTTGATTGCCCTGAGCAGGCATAACATTAGGGAAGCGGTCTTCCAACAACTTGGGCACCTGAGTTTGAGACCCCTGATCTACACCATGTTAGACTTTATTCCCTGTCCCAAAAGCAGTAGTGTGCCATGACCAGCTTGACTCCTGGACAGTGTCTTGTTGGATGAGGGTGAAAATGTACTCACCATGTGAAACCGGATTTACACTGCCTGTAATCTTGGCCAAGGCTTGGGGTCCATCATGAATGCTGGGGCCTTTGACCTTGCGTTGAGGTCTAGGACGTTGGGGAGAAGAGATGGATTCATCTGAAGAGCTAAAATCTTCACGCCGCACTGCGCAAAAAGTAGAATATTAGTGTCTGTAAAAGGGTTAGGGATAGGATGCAATTTAAAACAAAAAAGGTGTATTTTTTAATTTGATTGGGGACTACGGATCTTGAATTGTTAGAGACTCTAGAATAGCTAGAAATCCCATTATGATCTGCATAAAAGTCTAAAGTGCAAGACTTTCCAAACTAATCAAAAGGCATAATCCAACAAAGTACCATAAGTACTACAGATTCTTGTAGTGGCTATAGCATTGGAGTGCTCAATGAGTGTATTTCACTTGCAGGAGCTGTGCAGTGAGCACACACACACACACGGCTCAAAAGCATAGTTCCTTCAGGTTCAAAGAGCTGAAACATATCACAAGCACATATTTAAAGGATTTACAGATAAATGGGTCCAACATCTTCCAGTATAAGCCAATCTGAGGATTTCCATTACCTAATCCCTTCTGTGCTCGGGACGCGCGGTTACGGTGAGAATCCAGCATGGACACGATTCTGGAATGGCCATAGCGAGCAGCAAGCATGCGCGCATTATCCCCGTTCTGATCGGTGGTGGTCATCTTCACTCCCTACAGACAATGTACAAGAGTCAACTTTTCCCACCAAAACACTTTCCATCAAAAACATGTCTTTAAAACCAATAATTATAAATATCAGCCTTTCCCAAAAATAATTTTTTTTTTTTTTTTTTTTACAGAGTTCTCCTAACTTGTGAAAAGATACAGCTATTAGAGTATCTTCATCGATTTTTAATTATTGCTTTAAACATTGGGAGAGTCATTCACCTGGCATGTATAGAACACTTTATATAATCTTACAACAAATAATCACACGGACATCACATCTGCCCTCTTAAATGATTCATCCAAGATATGTCATGTAAATTAACTCTTACCATGATCCTCTAAGAGAATGAACTCTAAACCTGCCAGTTCACTGAACTACCTCACAGCATAAATACAAAACATACTTCCTCAACTCAACAGCACAACGATTTGGTGAGAGTACAGGGAAGACACATTAGTGTAGTGCATGTGGACGAGGTGGCTGGGTGCAGTAAAGTGTACAGGGGAGATTGTTGACTCACAGGCAGTGATACCAAGAGTGAAGGAGAGCAGGAACATCTACCTGTGATCATTCTCGTGTACCAGGTACAGGTTTTGCAGAAGGCAGGTGAAAGAGGAAGGATGATTGGCAGGTAAGTGGGAGGTAGTTCTTTATCATTTAAAGGTCTATACAGGTGCTGTCACTTTGACAGCACAATATATAGATAATATTGTATCATTTTATCTATGATAAAAAGTGGTTTTCAATATAAAAAAATTTAAAAAAAAAACCACTAAGAAATCCTGTTCAGTGTTCTTGGCTGAATATAGCAGAACACCCAAGTGCCATAACCACTACAGTGTGCAGCAGTAGTTACGGTGTTAAGAATGTCCTGGCGCCCCGCCATTATAAGTATTCAAACTTTTCCCTGTCTTCACTAAGCCTGGCACCGAGTTAGCCCAGCACTGCAGACATTAACTCCTGAAAGCCAACGGACGCTTCAAAGTAGGAGTCAATGGCTGTCCTAGTGGCGAGGAATGCGGAGAGGTGCCTGGCAAAACCCAGGTAAGAAATCAAACCATTCAACTACTTACAGAGGGGGTAGGATGCACCAGGGTACTCTAGCACTATTACTACTACAGTCCTCTGTAGTGGTTATGGTGTGTGGAGTGTCCCTTGTACATTGAGATAGCAGTTTTTATTCCCTAATTCAAACAAGAAAACAACCCATAAGGTCTTCGAAGGCTATAGTTAGTGGTCAAGCAGGGGAGTCTATGTACTCACATGGTTCAGTAGGTGCTGTACGATTATTTCATGTCCAGATGCGGCAGCTTCCATGAGAGGAGTAAAGCCGTAGACTGGCTCCCTATGTAAGGATAAACATTCCTTTAAATAACATACATTTATCATCCAAAGAGAATCCGGCAGCCTTTTGTAGAGCCCATAATGCCATCTATACTTTGTAACTATATGGTGCATCAGATAACCATCTTGGACAACAAAGTATGGCTGCTGTAAGAGGGCACGAGTTAGACATCTAACAATGTCTGAGCTTGAGCTACATGCTGGACATTGCTTGATACTGCACATGCAGTAGTTTTATATAATTTAAAACAGAAAAGAAAAAAAAAAGAAAAAAGGATACAATAAAATATTTTTATTGTTCAGTTCAATTAAAGCCGTACCCAGACTCTTACCTGATGTCCCCATTGGCCCCATTTTCAAGGAGAAACCGCAGGGTTCGTTGGTGTCCTGCACTGGTGCAGTGGAATAGAGCCGTCCAGCCACGGGAATCTCTAACCTCCAGTTTCGCTCCGTGCTGGGTAGATAGAAAGACAGGAAGTTACAGCGGGTTCTATAAGGAAATTCAACAGGTACTAAACAGGTAAACCTCTCCTGGATGGCATAACAGCCCGAATATATTTGTTGATTTAGTTCTGTGTCCAGGGACCGGAGGACAATATTCAGCCAAGGGTAAGGCTATAAAAGGACGCCTAGAACATTTAAAACACGGACATCCTTAAAGTATTGTCCAATTCATTAACACAGATTTTACAGAAAGCACATAATATGCAATCTAGTCGTTAAAGGTAATAACGTATAAATTGTCTGCAAAACGAATAAAGCCAACACGCTGGGTTCAGTCTGCTTGATGAGCAAAAACGTTATATATGGAACTGGTGTTGCTCAGTTTGTATATCTGAGTTGCTGAGGTCTGAGCCGCATCTTCATTCTGATAACCCAGGATTTACAAATAGTTTAAAAAGGTGAACAGGCAGTGTATCAAAGAAACTGAATATGAGCCTGGATAGGGGGCGTCATGGTGGGCAAAGGAGAAATATTAATCATGGACTTCATTTAATATAGGTGTCTAGTAGGGATGACCATTTAAGAAGGAAATATAGAAAGTAGTAAATGCCGGGACTATCTGTAGGCAAGAACGAGCAAAGGATTAAAAAAAAAATGTTTGTGGTGTGGATAAGGTTATCACAATGAACAATAAAGCCAGACTGAGATTTAATTATGGGCAAACTAATCAGATCATGTGGTTTCAAGCAGTCAGCTCAAATGGTCTTGGGGGGGAGGATATGAACAGTCTCAAATTCCAGCATCAAGGTCAACAGATGCAGAAACTGTCCAGGTCGTAAACATTTTTGGAAGGATTCAGACGAGACAACAGTGTCCAACCTTTGCTATCATAATGGTGTTGGATCACAGATTTTGTTATTATTTACCTGCTGTCACTGGAAGTGAATTATGAGACATGTAGGCAAACATCAGTTATTAGGAAAAGTTTGAATACCTCTGATCTAGTTATTCAGCTCTGATTTAGGAGATAAACGTCGTCTTCTCCTTAAAATCTCAATTACCCAAGACTCTCCACAATAGAAGACCCTTATCATCGCAACAGGGAGCTTTTATTCCACTGGTTTTAATGTCCACTATAGGGCAACTTACCTGTATAAGAAAATAAGCCACACTTTCATTCCCACAGCTGGCTGCCAACATGAGAGGAGTTTGCCCACTGGGTGTACAGCAATTCACATCTACACCTGCTTCCAGTAACAAGCTAACCACAGCATCATGGCCGATGTAGGAGGCGTACATAAGTGGCGTCCATCCACCTAAGTTTGGCTGATTCAGGTCAATGTCCTTCCTGTAGAGTCATAACAACAGACATTAGTAAACCCCTCTATTATCAATCAGCAGAGGTAAATGGAACACTCAGAATATTCACTTTAAAATGTCTTAGGCTACTTTGTGCACTCTACATCCTGTGTATTTAGTACTCCCGTAAAGAGAAGGACAGAGTCCTCATATCACATTCAGTGTGAGGAACTAAAGGATACTACAGAAACGGACATCAAGCCAGGGTGCCTCCGACTGCAGGAGGGACAAACTGCTACCAGCCAGTACTGCTGCTGTACCAGAACACTTTCTGAAGATCCTATTTAGAACCTCAGGAGTCTTCAAAAAGCAAACTCCTACATAATTTAGAAAGATTAGCAGGGGAGATCCCTTTGGAGAACAGCAAATGAAAAAGAAAGCACAACATTCTAAAACTTAAAAAAAAAAAAAAAATCTGTGGGGAAAAGAATAAAAGGTAGTGGGTAGGTACAATCTAGAAAAATGACCAGTGGGACTCCTCTGAAAATTCTGAAGAGGAACCTGTAGAAATATAGAACAAAGAAAAACCACCCCACCATACCTCAGAATGTGTACACTATGTTTGCGTAGCCCTCCTAGGATAAATGAAAATAGTTTTATAGGGGGCACCTAGTTCTCAGCATCCTCACTGCCATAAAAGTCCCCTACATACAATGCAACTGTTACCTGTTCACAAATTCCTTTACCACATCACACTCCCCAATAGAGGCCGCTGTGTGGACATCCAGAGGAAGTTCGATGACGTCCAGGGGTTCCCCATACCAAATGGACAGACTGCTGCCTAGCATCTCTGTCTCACTGGCCTCATCGCTTAGCTCTGCCATTCTACGTCACTCGGCAGAATCTGAAATAAAGCAAATCATATTTATACTTCACACACTTACAGAACCAACGGTGAGCTGCAATCACTCCCTGTACATACTGAATGTATATTCTCATTATAGAATGATTCATCCCCCTCCAGAATAGACGCAACACAATAGGGACAGCTCTAATATCCTGTGCATGTGGGTGCATGTGTTATATATACACAGGTCACGAGAGGCACTAAAGGGCCAGAGGGATGGTCAGGCAATCAGTAATAGCAATATGTTAAGGCTATGCTGATAACCAAAAATAAAGAATAAATAGATCAAGTAAGTAACTGTGGTTTGTTTACTAAATAATAAATTGTGGTGAATTAAAAGAAAGATAATGGCACTATTCAAAGAGTCTGATTGCAAAAAATTCACCAACCATGCTGCGTTTTTCAGTTTGGCTAATTTGACCTAAAATGAGCAGTTATATATTAAATTTCCATATTCAGCGAGTAAAGTACCTTTGATTTTTACATTCGGAAAAAGTCCAGCCATTGTTAATATAGAACGAGAACGGTTTGTGCAAAAACTATGTAACCTGGCAACCAAGGAGACCGGACTGCGCATGCGTGAACAAGGACTACGTCACTGCACTAGTCAGTGGGGGCGCTAGACATCGTTAAATTGGTGTGTGTATGGTGTGGCTTGCTCATTCAAAATGACTGAGCAAGTCACAGGAGACTCCAGGACTGTGCTTTCTAAATGCCAGCCCTCAATCTGGCACGGGGCTGGAGGGCAGTCCCGCTCCAATGCTACCGCTCGGAACATCACCTGGTGGCTCACAGGGATTGGTTGACTCAGGCCCAGCACTCCCAATCAGGAACCGTTTCTCACTTACGTCGAGGGCGCCGCAGTGATAGTACAATTTGACATGTCCACTATTACTGTTTTACTATAATTTGTTTCAACCTTTTCTATATTTTTACCATGAGTGAATCGGCAGAGTAGTAATATTTATGGTTGTCTTTACATTCAGTGGATATTCTACACTTATATAGCTTATGCATGATAAAATTTAAGAATGTCAGTTTTCACTTATGTCTAACTACATGTTGTGAATTTTGCTCATGCCATGGTACCTTGACATGGTTGTCTTGCTTGCTTATTTTAATTTGTGCTTTACTAATAAGTCTGTATACATACACATCTTGTCCCGCACCAAGTGTCAATGTCAAACCGTATACTTCTCAATGCACCTCCAAAATAAAGAATGTCAACATTTTGCGTTAAGCAAAAAACCTTTCTCCGCGGCAATTTTGATGATTCAGAAGTCTTGAGGGGATGATGCGACGAGTGCAGCACAAATAAAAGTGTGCCACAAATTACCCAGGTTAATCAGGCCCCCTACAGCCCAGATTTAAATCCCTGCGACGTCTGGCTTTTCCCAAAACTAAAATCATAATTGAAAGGTAAGAGATTTTAGGTAAATACAACGAGGCAGCTGACGACGATTCCAACAAAGGATTTTGTAGTGTGTTTGGAACAGTGGAAGAGACGCTGAGAGAACTGTGTGAGGTCCCAAGGTGCCTACCTTGAAGGGGACCGAGGTGTCATTGTCCCATGTACAATGTTTCTTGTACATTCGTCAATAAAAGTCTTTATTTTTCACATTACATGGCTGGATACTTTACTGACAGACCTCGTATTCAATAAATGACTGCAGTTTGTTTACAACACAAAGCCAAAACTGGGATCATTACAAATAAACATAAATTGCCCAAAATCCTTTATGGCTTCCCAATAGAGGCTAATATAAGAACACATCTACTTCATTAATTAGTTAGAAACACTCCAAGCACCATAACCAGTACACTGCTCTGTAGTTATGATGCTAGGACTGCCCTGGAACTGTCCAGTGTAATTTGTGAAAACGTTTTAGAACAGTTTGAAAAAAAAAAAACAAAAAAAAACAAAAAAAAACAACTTACTGGGGTCTACCATTCACTGCTTGAGATCCTCATTATAAGAGAATTTGATATGGAATATATTACAAAACAGTTTGACAAATTATACAGGGACAGCGCCAGAGCACTCCTGACACCTTAACCACTACAGCAGGGTACAATGTTTATGGTACTTCGAATCCTTTAATCCATAACTACGAAAGCTTACTGAAATAGTTATAGTAGAATAAGTCTCTGGATGCCAAAACTACAATCTCTGTCAAACCCTTTTCAAACTGTGTCTCTTTAAAATACTCTAGCCTTGTGTGACCACTTTTTCTAAACACGTATTCAACTATGCACTAAACACAGCTACCTGCATTCTAGAGGTATGTACTTTGCGTTAAAGGGACACTATAGTCACCTGAACAACTTTAGCTTAATAAAGCAGTTTTGGTGTATAGAACATTCATATAATCCTCTGCCATTTAGGAGTTAAATCCCTTTGTTTATGAACCCTAGTCACACCTCCCTGCATGTGACTTGCACAGCCTTCCTAAACACTTCCTGTAAAGAGAGCCCTATTTAGGCTTTCTTTATTGCAAGTTCTGTTTAATTAAGATTTTCTTATCCCCTGCTATGTTAATAGCTTGCTAGACCCTGCAAGAGCCTCCTGTATGTGATTAAAGTTCAATTTAGAGATTGAGATACAATTATTTAAGGTAAATTACATCTGTTTGAAAGTGAAACCAGTTTTTTTTCATGCAGGCTCTGTCAATCATAGCCAGGGGAGGTGTGGCTAGGGCTGCACAAACAGAAACAAAGTGATTTAAAGCCTAAATGACAGTGAATTGAGCAGCGAAATTGCAGGGGAATGATCTATACACTAAAACTGCTTTATTTAGCTAAAGTGATTTAGGTGACTATAGTGTTCCTTCAAAGGGTTACATCAGCCATAACAATCATTAAAGGCCGCTCCCATTCCCCTGCAATGAGGTAAACGGTTTTAAAATGGTCTGCCCTCTTATCAAAGACCACGCGAGGTGCAGTGGGTTCCTCTTGCGCTGGCTTACGACACCTGGCTCATCCAAACCTTCAGAAGCCGGATGCCGATCCTGTTGGGCATTTATTGGCTAAAAGAGAGAGTCAGCTGATCTTTCGGAGCCAACGAATGACATTCTGTGGAACAAATTAAGCACAGAATTGATATTAGCCACCCCGGAACGCGTGTTTAAGGCTGGTTAATGACGCCACCAGTGGTGGAGTTCCACTTCCGGCAGCAAAGGTGGTAAATCTTAGGATGTGCAGCATTTCGCAGCAAAACGCTTAACAGACCAACACCAGGCACCATAACCACTTCAAATCCCAACACCAGGCACCATAACCACTTCAAATCCCAACACCAGGCACCATAACCACTTCAAATCCCAACACCAGGCACCATAACCACTTCAAATCCCAACACCAGGCACCATAACCACTTCGGAATCCCTTACGTTGCTGAAGCGCCGATAGTTTTGTCTGCAGCCTTTAAATGCCAGCTTCCAGCTCTGCGCTGGCTCAGTCCCTGTGATGGTGCATTTCCAAGGGCCATGAATAATGAGCCTAATGATAAGCCACATGTTGTGGACTCCATTTCCCATGCTGCTTTGCCAGCACTGTGGCTGTAAGGGCATTATGGGAGATGTAGTCCAGAATATTTGGAGTGCTGAAGGCTGCCCTCCCCTCCTCTGCCCAGCCACCCACAGTAAGCCAGGACTCACCTCCTCCTATAACTCAGACAAGATGCAGTAACAGGAAGAAAGTCACTTTCCCTCTCTCCCTCCCCACTCTGAGACTTCAGCCTCACTGCTGGAATTTCCCCCCTGCGCGCACAGGACGCTGGAACTTGTAGTTCTTTCCCCGAGCCTTCGCATTCCAGCAGTCCTGTTCTGAAACTGCAACTCCCAGAATTCTTAGCAGCTCGCCCCGCCTCCGTTTTGATCAACAAGCTGAGCAGCCAATGAAAAGCTAGGCTACATCAAAGTCGCCGGGAGAGCTGACCAATGGAAATCAAGCGGCGCAGGTCCTGCCTGCTATATAGTGAATGAGTTTAACCCATAACCTCTACATTCCAGATTAAACTCTCTTTTCTAGCACGGCGATTACACAGTGTGCCACACATTGCTGGCTGATAATTTACCTCAGCGAGCCCGAGCCCCTCGGACCTGTAATATACCCGCGATATACTCTATGTGCCTGTCAGGACCTGCGGAGGGCGGAGTCTCAGCTTGTTACCCGGGCAATGTAGGCCGAAAGCGACGCGGAGGAACGTTGGGGGCGTGTCTTATGGTTTGGGGCGTGTCTAACCGTTGTAGTTGCCTAGTAAATAAATGAGCCTCCACGCCTTGCCCCGCCTTTTAAGGCGTGGTTATGTCCGATAGCGAACGGTGGCCTCAACAGCTGCTTTGGCCACGCCTATATGGGGCGTGGTTAACCCAGCAGTGGGTGGGGTGTTGGCAGATAGGGGCGGGGCCAGGGAGTCAGGTGGCAGTGGAGGTGATAGCTGTGTCCCTGGACAGGGAGGTGAGGGCTGGGAGTGATGGGAGTTGGAGTCCTGTGAGGCTGGTACCTGAGACTGCTGGGAAATATTATTATTATTATTATTATTAACAGGGGGTGAGGGCTGGGAGTGATGGGAGTAGTTCTCTGTGAGGTTGGTACCTGGGGGTACTGTGCAAAGGACACCCTGACATTGCTAGGCATCATTATCATTATTATTATTATTATAATTTATTTATACTATATGGCTCCTGGCATTATTATTATTTTATTTATAAAGCCCCAACACATGCCATAGCGCAGTACAATTGGTATAAGTAGTAAGATAAAGGTACAATACATCTGAGATAATATGAAATTATACAAATAATTACAATGAGAGTGAATGGCCCTCCTCCAATGGAAACCTGCAATCTAGACATCACTATTTGGCTCCTGGCATTAATAATATTATTATTATCATTATTATTGTTATTTAGAGGAGCCGTATATTATGGTAAAATATGTGTAAGGGTTCTCCAGACATCATAATAAACCGTGAGAGCAAAGGCAAAATAATTTGTAAATGTCTCCCTAACCCAGAAATTGTGTATTTCTTTAAAACATGCGCCATTGAGATTTATAATCTGGTTAGTACAATATTTTAGGCTAGGGTTAGTGTTAAACTGTACATATCACATTCCGCCCTGGGAGGGGTTATTTGTTAAAGTGTAGCCGACAAGACAGGTTCACTTTAAAATCACGTAGGAGCTAAAGGTACCATCCAAGCACCATAACCACTATATACTGTAGTCCGTTCATTCTTTCCCTGTTTTATGTGAGACTGGTATATGGAATACTTGTATGTAAGATCTATTTTATATATTTTGGGGACCTGCTTTATCTACGCTCAGGGGTTTATTCTGTACATTTTGGGGGATCCACCCAGTACATGGGGATGGAGCTGTATTTTATATGTTGGAGGATCTACTGTAAAAGCCATGGAATCCTCACTAAATTATTTTTGATACATTTCAAGGTTAGAAATATGGCATCTGCTCATAAGATGACCTCGGAGGAAGACATATTGCAGATGACTACTACGGCCGACCCCACATGGCCAGGAGTCTCCGGCTGGGATTCCATCTTTTCCACAGTGAAAGAACAAGTACCTTCTCTGGATTCAGATGAGTCGTCCCTGGTGAGTGTTCGGACTTGACCTGTTAATTATTATTAGTATTATTTATATAGCGCCAGCAAATTTCCGTAGCGCTGTTAATGCAGGCCTTTTCATATTCATGTATTTAATATAACTAAGACATAGTGGGTCCTACTGCTAGGGCAATCCGTTCTGGAGTGTGGGCTTGCTAATCATTTCAAACACAAAAACTACCACTACAAACACCAATCTTAAACAAGCCTGCAGTCTCTGAAAAAGACACCCCTCTCAGCGTCTCCACTAAACGCAACCTGTTATAACTGCTAATAGTTATCTGCGTTTTATGTATGTTAAATGTATTATGTTTAAGGGGCATAATTAAAGTGGCAATACAGACCTGGAATTGAAACCCACCATTTTAAGGCATTTGAAGAATGATAATTAAAAATATGCAAATATTGTTAAAAATGTATTAAAATAAAAAAAACTATCTTTTATAATAACACTTTGTGATCCATTTGATTTAGGTAGATGTGGATCAGCCACCAGTAAAAGCCAAAACGCACCTTCTGTTTGCCTCACCTTAAGTCTTCTTATTATCCATTGATAAAATGGCTGGACCCAGTCACAATCTGCCAATCAATCACAAAAGGCTTTTTCTTTTGTTTCAACAGTCTGATGGTGACGATGAGGAGATGCACATTTTCCAGAGAGATCATGTTTGTTTTATGCCAGACCTGTCAGAAGAACTATTAGGAGAGGTCCAGGACACTGAAGTCCAGGTGAGCATCTGCTTTGACACATCCTAACTCTGAGAAGCATATGATTCGATGCTGCCCAGCACGAATAAGGAAGTTATTTTAACTGTCTTGCTTGGGTACATTAAAATAGGCATATTTAACCTAGACTGTTCCACGGTACCCTGACGTGTATGACCTTCATTACTTTTCTAGGATGATTCTGAGCTAATGAACTTTGAGAGAGAGGAATGGACGGAACCAAAGGAGAGCTCTCGTGACGATCCAAACCTCACATTCACCAACCATGACACAAAGCAAATAACCCCTGACCCCAGCACTAGTACGGAGCCCCTGTTCTCGGAGAAGACCGAGACCCCAAATGGAGAAATGAAGGACCTGGTTAAGATTGAGTGCTGTGAATTTCAGCTTAGTGTAGAGGATTCACTTATACGGGATAGTCAGAGCGTTGAGGTGCAGAGTGGAAAGGATCCGAATGGACACCTAGATCCTGTCTCCCTCCACGAGAAGCAGGTAAGGCTGTCGTGCAATACACAGAGTTGAAGCTCACGTGACACTGCTATCAAAGCAGCCGATTAACTATGGGCCTCAGTCACAAAAGGTGATGTTGAGTTAAATACAAATAAAAACCATATGTATCTCCGAGGGATATCTTCTCCTTAATCTGTTAATTTACACCCCTACAAACTCAGAGTGGTCCCTGATTGTGAAATATAGTGGGGTATTTTTCCTGTGTACAGTTCTGCTTCTTTCACCCCTGAAATTGTTTCCGCATGCCATTTAAACTTTTTATAATTATCTTTCCATTCAATAATGTTAATTTGTTTCAAACTCTTGATACCATCTCAAATATATAAGCGAAGTCTAGACTGCAACAAAGAAAATTACATGTAGCATAACGAGTACTTGTTCATTAAACCGTGATGTTCATTATACAGGATAGAACCTTCACCTTTTTTTTAGGTCAGGACAGAAGTCAGTCGAGGGTAAGGTGTTTAAAGAGAACCAGAGAGAGTTGTTATGGTGTAGAAATATATATTATCGCTCTGATTGATAAATAAATTAAGAATAATTTTACCCGAGTCTTCCTTACTTTTCTCTTCCTGTATGTCAATAAATGTTTATTGAGAGATTTTCTGTTGATATGGTAATAAAGACGTCGGGCTGTATATCCCCCTTAGGGTGCAGAGCAGTGGGACCTTGACCGGGTTCTCCAGCAGATCATGGAGATGGGGGAGATCCACCTTCCAACCAGCCTCAATACAGCACGTCTCAGAGACTCTGGTACGTGTAGCACTGTCTGTCCGTGTGTCACTATAACTATGTGCGTGTCAGGCCCGTAGCATGTCCTGTCACCTGGCCAGTAGCTAGGCGAACCCATGTCATTCAGCCCCCTTTATGGATTTCTAATTGGACATGTAAGTGGCTCTTGTCATTCAAAAACCATGGTGCACTGTCTCTTTAAGAGAGCTCCAACACTTTAGTGTTCCAACTTTTAATTGGGGCTTTGCCTATTAAAAGTCATTGGTCAAAACAGAGGAAAATAGGCAACAAACATTAACCAATCATTTTGCATGAAGACATAAATGTTTCACAAGTTTAGTTAGATCACACTTTTTGAATGGAAACACAAATAGACGCAAAAGCAGTCAGTATTGTTTGACTGTGAAATGCCATGCGTGTCTGTGGTGTAGATGGTTTAAAAAGTAAAAATGTCGATTTTTATTTTATTTTATTAATTTGTCTTTTTTTTCCCAGATGAGCTGATGCTTCCTCCACTGCTGCCGTTTGAAAGTTATTCAGCAGCAATCCAAGACCAGATCATGAAACAGCTGTCGGATCTGAGTGCTAGGCAATTGCAGTCTGTTCCTCGTGTTCAGCAGTTGGCAATTGAGACAAAGGAAAATGAGAGCAGGGGAATCTCCTGCAGGTGACTTTCAGAATGGGATGAAACCAGCGCGGATGGGTGGGCAGTTAGTGAGAGTGTCCTCAGGGGAGTGGGAGAGGATTTCTAATGAAAACAATCATCCATGGATTAAGAAGAGGGAATCTGTAACATTAAAACCGTAACACATTACAATGCAGTATCTCCATATCATGTAGCATAGTATCATTTTAAACCATTTATCCAAGTCATTCAGTAAATAATTGAAAGGACACTACAATCACTATATGGTTACATTAGCTGAAAAGAGAAGTGTTAATCAAGTTCAGCATTTCTCACATCTGTTTTTGCTGTTGATTCAAAAGAAGGCAAACCCCCCCCCAGTTTGAAGAAATTGCAATTTTGCAACAAACTAGGAAAAAAATCATTCTTAATCCCAGAATGGCAGTCAGATTTATCTTTGGATTTATGGACTCTTTCTAATTTTGGACATCACCATGAGGTTAAAAAACTGATGAACTGCTAAAATGGAGAATACATAATTTGCATGTGATTTGCATACAGAACCGAGGAACCTGTTGGACAGGTTGTCTTCTTGTATTTGGGTACTTCCTGGTTTGGTTAGCTCAGTGGAGCTAAACTCAAGAGGCAGCAATTGTCCAAAGCACCTGCCTTGCAAAGACTTCTCATTGAGCTGCATTGGGAAGTCTGTGATTGGGCAGCCACAGAAAGTCTGGGCGGGGATAGAAGGGGAGGGCTTACAAATCCTGTAGACAAGCAATCTTGCTTTTGTAAACTGCTTTTAGAAGTACCCCCTATGAAAAAAAATTATAATTGCATTGCACGTTTTCATTGTATGCTGTTATTTTCATTTATTTTTTGTATTTGGGCAGTGGGGCGTCTCTTTAAAAAAATGAACATTTTTGTTTTATAGGAGCAATAGTTAATTTTTAAAGCAGTTAAAATCTTTGAAAAAAACAACATATATACTATTGGTGTTTAAAGATATACTTGTTTGTTTGTTTGTTTCTGCTGTTGTATCGATTGGATCAGCTGGAAATGCCAAATATTTATTTCCCACAATGCTATTGTGACCGAGAATGCAAATTAGAAAACATACAGCTCTGCAATGGCATAAAACGTGTCCTCTGGCAGACTTTAGGAGCTGAACCCATTAGACACAGAGAATTATGGACACAAAATACGGATTAAAAGATTCAGACAGAATAAGGGTGAAAGCGAATGTTAAATAAAAGACTTCTCGGATTCAATTTTATATCACAGACAATATTTTTCCTGTCAGTATTTGATACAATATTTTTTCTGGTCTTCACATAAGATTTCCCAAATTTCTTTGACATTTATTTTATTTAACAATTGCTATATAGCACCCTTCTTCATTTTGCTATCACTAAAGGAAAATAGACTGAAACAGTGTAAATGTTTAATTTCTGATAGGTTTATCACCCGTCACAGTGCACATTTCTGCATACTTACCATTATTTTCTTTTCCTGATAATTAGCGTGTCTGCAATGGCTTGCAATGTGCTTTGGGGCAAAAATATTGATAATGGAGCAGTTACCATTGTAACGATCAGAATCTTCTTGTGGGTACATAGGTTTCCACGGTGACTGCACCATAGTTATCTCTGTTGCCATGCTTTGCTAATTTCTCTCTTTGAGTTTCCCTAACTAGGTATTTTGCGGAGAAAGAATGTTTGTTTTTTTTTGTGATCTTTTAATGTGTTTTTTTCAAATTATTTTTTTGTTGTTTCGTTTTGTTTTTTTTAGAGCTAAATGATTATAATAATAATTTAATGTGATGACACCTGTTCTATTCCAGGAAGGATCTTGACACATTGGATGGTAAAAAACACCAGGAACAAATGTCTACTGTTTATATAGATTTGAGGTCAACTGCTCTCCACGTGGACTCAACAACCATAGAAGATCAGCGGAAAGGAAAGTCCACACATGTCAAAGAGAAGACAGAGGAAAGGCTCCACAACAGGTGAGTAGTCTGAGATAGCCCCCCCTTCCTCCCACTTTCTCACAATCAAAGAATGTCTGATAACTGTAAATATCACTGTCTGCTCCATAGAGATTGGAAATGTAGGTTTTTTGTTTGAAAGACGACGGGCTCAGCTCCAAATACTACAAAATGCTACGTAACGTTAGCAGCTCTGCAATCTAACAGCTTTGCAATATTTTCTCAAGTGCCCATTGTGTGGAAATCTCCTATTCTGTCGAAGTAGACATATGACTGGAAGACTATTAAGGTTATCAGAAAAATAGAAAAGTCCCAAAAGATTAATGTTAATTAATATTTAAAGTTTAATCTGATAAGATGGTGATATCCTATAATTAGGACAATGTTCTCTTGCAGGGTTCAACTTACAGGAAAAAGCTTGCTGCTTCACCAACTCCGCCATGTTAAAAATATCCCACCCTCAGACGCACTAGATAACAAGTCCCAAGAACCCGAGTCTGCTATGGTGAGTAAGGAAAACCAGGCTCCTACTTCACAGCTCCAATGCAAGAGACGACTGAAGAACATTGGGCAAAACACGGCCAAAGTCCAGGAAAGAGAAGAAGCAAATAAGGAAGCAACTACAGAAGAGAAGCCAGACGAGGATAAGAACCAGATACAAATCCACCCGTCACCTGTAACAGTCCAGGAAACCCCCAGGTAAGCAGCTAAACAGGAACTTCTGTTAAACATCCCTCCTAGTAACAAGGTGGAGATAGCACAATGGATTCTTGTACCAGTACTATTATAATAACTTTTAAATTAGTATTACTATTACGGTTTGTTTGTTTATACTAGTAATTGGTTTTTTGGGGGGGTTTTGTAATAGAGGCCTTGATTTAATACTGTTCGATAAGCTTTTAAAATGATTTAATATTATGAATTTATTTTTTAATTTTTTTGATATTTTGTGATATATTAATATATATATAATTTCTGTACATATTTTTGATCTGATCATACTTTTTAAAAATCATCTGAAAAGCTTATCCAAAAATATGAAATCGAGGCCAACATTTGTACTGGTTTCTGCCTTTGTTTGCAGCACGCAGGTTCTGGAACGCAAGGAGATGCAGGAAAAAGAAAAGAAAGTCCGTCATAGGATGCAGGCTCAGCTGGAAGGTTTGAAACCACTCAACTCAGTGAACCGCCGGCAGCCAATGGCCAAGGGAACCCCTGTATTGTTTCACCCGGTGAGAGGAGATCTATTGGTCATAGCGTAAAGAACTGATCCTAGATCAGAACTCCATTGCAATGAAATGAAGATCTCCTTATTGTGACCTCATGCCAAGCAGCGGTTCAGTCCAATCAGAATCTTCGTCAAGTCCCAAAAAGTTGCCTGGTGTGAGGTTTCAATAACCGGATCTTTCTTCACTAAGAGGTCTCTTGATCATTTAGGGCACATGTGATCATATATATCAACATTATTATTTATGGCTTGATCATGCGTGTGCTTTTTTTGGTGAATGGATTCACTAATGGTAATAAAGGTTTGGAATCCACAAAAAAATGTCAAAGTGGGGAGATCACTATTATCTCCCCCTTTGTGAATCAGAGCAATCACAGGTTAAGGAGTTGTGGGTAATGGTGGTCCTTGAATATATATTTTATGACTTGGTAAAGGCTGCTCTTTTCTCATCTTGAAGGAAGCTTCGTTTAGCCCGGATATTGGACCTTTACCGTCGGCATCATGCAGTAATATAGAGCTGATTCTCCTCACTGTCTGGTTATCGAGTTGCGGACAGATCATCCTCCCGGGACAGCATGGCAGTCGATCGCCAGACTCCTCTCTCTCTTCCAGCAATGGCTACAATGCTTTGCTCACCTGGCTCCTCTCCCTGGTGAGACTATCTGCATGCACCCCACACACTCTCGTGTCTTCCCTTAGATACCCAATTCCAGCTGCTTCCATTTTATGTGTTTTTGTTATTGTTCCTGCAGGTGCCAGCCTTAAATCCTCAGAGCAGTGCCCCATTTCAGGTGCTGGGTTTGCAGCAGGAGTGGCGGGAGGAAGGGCTGGCGCTGTTTGCCTGCTTGTCACCGGGGATTGTGCCATTGCAAAACAGCCCCAAGATCCGAAAGCCCAAGGTAAGTCCATGACTTTTCTTCTCCCTTAACACGTACGATGTGACTTCATGGGCAAAGTGGGATAAAATAGATGTCAGTCTCTCTCTACTGGAAGTGTAGTGCTGATAATGTATTACTGTACACACTCGGCAGCTTGTGGTTGTGTGGAAAAACAGAAATCTGGGGATAGTGATTAATCACTATGTCTGTCACTGCAATGGGTATGAACCGGGATGTGCTTAAAGGACCACTATATTGTCAGGAAAACATACTCGTTTTCCTGGCACTATAGTGCCCTGAGGGTGCCCCCACCCTCAGGGTCCCCCTCCCGCCTGGCTCTGGGGAGAGGAAGGGGTTAAACGTACCTCTTTCTCCAGCGCCAGGCGGGGAGCTCTCCTCCTCCTCTCAGTCCCCTCTCCTCCCCTTCGGCTGAATGCGCATGCACGGCAGGAGCTGCGCGCGCATTCAGCCAGTCTCATAGAAAAGCATTCATAATGCTTTCCTATGTACGCTGGCGTCTTCTCACTGTGATTTTCACAGTGAGAAGCACGCAAACGCCTCTAGCGGCTGTCAATGAGACAGCCACTAGAGGATTTGGAGGCTGGATTAACCTATTTATAAACATAGCAGTTTCTCTGAAACTGCTATGTTTATAAAAAAAGGGTTAACCCTAGCTGGACCAGGCACCCATGCCACTTCATTAAGCTGAAGTGGTCTGGGTGCCTATAGTGGTCCTTTAAGGCAAATATGTATGAGATTTGAGAGTTCCACGTGAGCTAGTGGGGATACTGACAAAATTAATGGCAATTGGGCTGGACTCCCCTGATATTTACTGAAACAAGTATCGCGTATTATATTCCAGCACAGTGGGAGTGTTTGCATTGTTTAGGTACTGCTAGTGCTTTGAGTTACTCAAGTATGGTATGATCTCTTATCTAACATGCTTCCGCACAGGGTAAAGAAGGCTTACGAGGCACTTCCAGTTTCTACCAGCAGGCATCGCTGTTCTTGAGGCAAAATACCTTGCAAAGTGTCGCATGGTGGACCAATGAGGTGACACATCGCTTGCACGGGCAACTTTTCCCATTGCCACTTGAAGTCCCACCTGTCAAACTAAGCAACATTGCAACCTTGAATCCTGCCACAGAGGTAAAGATCACCAACTAACAGTGTGATGACTTAGAAACATAGAATGTGACGGCAGATAAGAACCATTCGGCCCATCTAGTCTGCCCAATTTTCTAAATACTTTTATTAGTCCCTGGCCTTATCTTTTTTTTTTTTTTGGCAATCTTCGTTTTTATTGAAGCACAGTTTGTATACAGACAGAGAATAAACAAGTATAAAGCTTACAGATTTCTAGCATGTTATCGCACATGCGGTAATGCTCCCTCCCTGTTACCCGCCTGTATTTCCCTACCCAGCCTCTGTGAGTAACTGAACAACCGAGCGCAACTGCGCAAACTGAACTTTAGAACATGTTCCGTATGTCTCTATGGGGGAAGATGGGGTAAGGGAATCATGTTTTCCTCTTTATTTTCCTCCCTTTCATTTTTCCCCTTTTCCTCTTTGGGGGGGACTAATCTCTTCTCCCGCTTTCGTCCCGCTCGAGTATTTGGCTTGAAATAATGACTCTACGTTAACAAGTCAGTGACCAATATCTGTCTGGGGTGTGTCGGTGTAAGGTCAGTCATACGTGGTGTGGGAGAGGAGAAGTGGAGGAGAGAGAGGAGAGAAAAAAAAAAGGGGGGGGGTAGGTGAGGAAGGGAAGGGGGATGTCGGCCAAGGCGGGGGGAAGGGAAGGGGTGAGTCCGCCGCCCCCCCCCACACCCCACGTCCCAACCCCGTGCGCACCGGCGCTCACCCCGCTATTCGCCCCCCGCTCCGGCCGTCCTGCAGGCCTACGAGCCATGTACTCGATCCAGGGAGCCCAGAGGCGGGTACATTTCTCCCCTGTACCTCTCAGTTCCTCCGTGAGGCTCTCCATGCTGTATATTTACTCTACCTTCTCCATCCAGTTCGCAACCGTTGGGACGGTAGTTGACTTCCAGCGAGCCGGGATCAAGCTCTTGGCGGCATTCAAGAAGTGTCTCGTCAGCGATCTCTTGTAGGCCCCCAGGGGCATCGTAGTGTGGTGAAGGAGCATCGGTAGAGGCTGCATCGGGATGTCTGAGTCCAGTAGCTCTCGTAGTTTCGTGTGTATTTGTTGCCAGAAGGGTACAATGAGAGGGCAGAACCACCAAATGTGCAGGTCCGTGCCGTCTTCGGACTCACATCTCCAACATCTGGCCGTTGGCGACAGGCCCATGCGAAAGAGTTGGGAGGGCGTCCGATACCAACCAGTCATGAGCTTATAGTTCATCTCTTGCAGTTTCGCACTAGTCGTACCTTGGTGCTTGAGGGTGTGTATCTTCTCCCAGTCTGAGTCCGCGAGAGTGACACCCGTGGCTCGTTCCCAGTTAGATTGGTATGGTGCCGGGGGGCACCGAGCTGCAGTCAGCAGCATGGAGGACAGTGTGGAAACCCCCTTAGGTATGCGCCTCCCCTCCGTGCAAATGGATTCGAAGCTGGTCAGCTCCCTATGTACCAACTGCTTGCCCGGTAGAGATTGGTAAAAATGCCGAACTTGTTGGTATCTGAATCGAGTCAGCCCAGTTAAGGGTATCAGGGGGGCCAAGGCTTCCAGGGGTTTTAACTGTCCCTCCGCGCACCAGTCCCCTAAGTATGGTTTGTCCGGGCTTCCTATGCCAGTGATGTCTCTCGGCGTCAGCCCTCCCGCAATCTCGGGGTTGTAAATCACCAGGACTAGCGGGGATGGGCTAGTCGTTAGTTCCAACTTGTAGCGAATAGTAGCCCACACTTGCAGCCTTGCCCCTATGAGCGGGTGCCTCCGGATGTCCCTCGTCTGTATGGGCCGTAGTAGCCACGTGACCCAAGGTATTCACTCTCCGACTTGTGCGTGTTCTAGGTGGACCCATTGCTTATCGGTCTCGGGTACGTGCCAGTCCACCACTCTGAGGAGGTGTGTCGCGTGATAGTAGGTTTGGAGCGAACGGAGAGCCACTCCGCCTTGGCATTTTGGGCAAATCAGCTGGGCGTGTCGGAGTCTAGCTGCGCCCGCGGCCTACACAAATTGTCTGATGGCCGTGGTCAGGGAGCCGAAGAAGGCCCTGGGGAGGGTGATGGGAATTGTCTGAAACAAATACAGGAGTCGCGGTAGGAGGTTCATTTTGACCGCGTTTATTCTCCCAAACCAGGACACACAAGTCGCGCCCCATCTCTTCATGTCCGTCCCAAGTGTCGCCAATAGGGGCAGAAAGTTGTCGGGGAACAATCTGGTCAAGTCCGTCGTCAGCCAGATGCCGAGGTATTTAATGCGCTGTGAGCACCATCTGAAGGGGAAATTCACCCTCAGTTGGGACGTCAGGCCCGGGGGTAGACAAAGCGGCATCGCCTCGGACTTGTCCGTGTTCAATTTGAAGTTGGAGAGCGCCCCATAGATCCGGAAGGCCCGGAGTAGATTTGGCAGTGTCACCAATGGGTTTGCAATAAAAAATAGCAGGTCATCTGCGTATGCAGCCACCCTATGCTCTCCACCTCCCACAGTGAACCCCGTTATACCCCCGTCCCGTCTGACCGCCGCCAGAAATGGTTCGAGCATGAGGGCAAACAGGAGGGGGGACAGGGGGCATCCCTGCCGCGTCCCATTGGTAATCGAAAAAACTGGGGACATGGCGCCGTTTATCTGCAGGCGGGCCCTCGGGGTTGCATATAAGGCAGCTATCCAGGTCTGAATGTTGGGGCCGAAGCCCATTACCCGTAGGGTCTCCCTCAGGAACTGCCAGTCTACTCTATCAAAAGCCCTCTGGGCATCCGTGGAGAGCAGGAGGCCCCCGCCTGCAGTTCCCTTGGTGGCATGTATGAGGTTGAGGGCCTTGATTGTATTATCCTTTGCCTCACGCCCCGGGATGAACCCGGTCTGATCTGGGTGAATCAGGTCTGGAGCCACTACCCCCACTCTGCGGGCTAGAATCTTCGTGAATAGCTTGAGGTCCGCATTGAGTAGAGAGATAGGTCTGTAACCGGCACACGATGTAGGGTCTTTCCCGTCTTTCGGCACCATCGCCACTGTAGCCATGAGGGTATCCTCTGGGAACCTCCCACCCTCCAAAACGGAGTTGAGGCACTCCAGCAGCTCCGGCAGGAGAATCTCCCCGAAGGTACGGATGTATCGCACGGGAAAGCCGTCCAGTGCCGGGGCTTTATGCATCTTCGCGGCTTTGAGGGCACCTGTGAGCTCTTCCAAGGTGATGGGGGCATCGAGGTTTTCGGCCTGAGCCTGCGTGAGCTTCCGGGTCACGTGCTGTTCTAGATATTCCCGAATTTCGTCCAGGCGCTGTCGAGAAGCCCCCTCCCCAGAGTCCCTCGGCAGGTTGTATAGTTTGGTGTAGAACTCCTGAAATTCCGCCATTATGCCATCCGGTCTGCGTACGGGGGGCGCATTCGCCTTTTGCAGGATGGTTATTTGGGACATTCGGCACTTATTTTGTAGCATTCTAGCGAGCAGGCGCCCACATTTGTTGGAATGTTCATAAAAGAATCTGCGGGACTTACGAAGCGTATACGAGAGGTTCCTGGAGAGCAGGCTCTTCAGTTCTCTCCTCACCTCCAGTAAAGAGCCGTAATTGTCCTCCGTCGGGTCTGACCTGTGCGTCTGGTCTAAGTGCGAAGCTCGGGCATATAGGTCTTTCAATCTAGTGTTTTGTTCCTGTTTGCGTCGCGAGCAGAGCTTAATGAAATGACCCCGCAGAACGCATTTGTGGGCCTCCCATCTTATCTGGGGCGAGGTGTCCCGGGCATGGTTGTCCGCGAAGTATTGAGAGAGAACCTCTCTCGTCTCCGCTTGAAGTAGGGAGTCCTCAAGGACTTGTTCATTCAGCCTCCATTGCCGACAGCTGGGTTTAAACAGAGGTGAGCGTATCGTAGCCAGGACCGGGGCGTGGTCTGACCAGACCGCTGTTTGGATGTCACAAGACTGGAGGAGGTGTAGATATTCCTGAGCGATCAAGATGTAGTCTAAGCGGCTGTGGCCGTGATGCACTGGCGAATAAAATGAGAAGTCCCTGTCTTCCGGGTGAAGAACTCTCCAGGTATCGGCCAATCCCGTGCCTGGCCTTATCTTATAGTTAGGATAGCCTTACGCCTATCCCACGCATGCTTAAACTCCTTCACTGTGTTAACCTCTACCACTTCAGCTGGAAGGTTATTCCATGCATCCACTAACCTTTCAGTAAAGTAATACTTCCGGATATTATTTTTAAACCTTTGCCCCTCTAATTTTAGTTTTTGTCCTCTTGTTGTGGTAGTTTTTCTTCTTTTTTTTTTTTTTATTCTTTATTTTATTCGTGCATAGATTTAACAAGCAGTTTTGCACTGCCACGACAGCTGGTGCAAACATAAATGAAACATGTGGTGACAGTAATGTGGCATAAGAAACATTGCACATTTTTTATATAAACAAACAGAATTATGCTTAATAAGAGTTCGCCATGCTTAATGAGATTTAGTTATGCTTAGTAAGATTTAACCGTGCTTAGTTAGAGCCAGTCATACCTAGTCAGGGTCAACCATGTTCAGTGAAGTTTTTCTTCTTTTAAATATAGTCTCCTCCTTTACTGTGTGGATTCCCTTTATGTATTTAAATGTTTCTATCATATCCCCCCTGTCTCGTCTTTCCTCCAAGCTATACATGTTAAGATCCTTTAACCTTTCCTGGTAAGTTTTATCCCGCAATCCATGAACCAGTTTAGTGGCCCTTCTCTGAACCCTCTCTAAGGTATCAATATCCTTCTGAAGATACGGTCTCCAGTACTGTGTACAATACTCCAAGTGAGGTCTCACCAGTGTTCTGTACAATGGCATGAGCACTTCCCTCTTTCTACTGCTAATACCTCTCCCTATACAACCAAGCATTCTGCTGCTCTATTACATTGTCTGCCTACCTTTAAGTCATCAGAAATAATCACCCCTAAATCCCTTTCCTCATATGTTGAGGTTAGGACTCTATCAAATATTAAAATGTATACACATAGCTTTTTTTGAAATTATCAGTTAATACTACAGTGCAATTTTGGGTACAATCAGGCACCATAATAACGACAGCTCGTCATAACAGTTATGATGGTGTTGTTGCAAACCCCTTTCCCAGCTGTAAGTAGCCATTTTTAAGTTATTAGAGTTTTTACCTAAGGGTTTACTAGCATGTTAGATGTAAGAATTTTCAGTTATAATTTTAGTGAGAAACAAGATTTAGAAATCACCTCAGCAATGCTTTCCTATGGACGCTTGCGTGCTATCACTGTGATTTTCACAGTGAGAATCACGCAAGCGCCTCTAGCGGCTGTCAATGAGACAGCCGCTAGAGGCTTTGGGGGAAGGATTAACCCATTTATAAACATAGCAGTTTCTCTGAAACTGCTATGTTTATAAAAAAATGGGTTAACCCTAGCTGGACCTGGCACCCAGACCACTTCATTAAGCTGAAGTGGTCTGGGTGCCTAGAGTGGTCCTTTAAGTCTCCATTCGCCATTACAGTAAACTGTAACTCTTCTCTCGAAATACTTCCAGTTGGTATCCTCTGAGAGTAATCCACTAATAGTAAATAGAATATCCCTTTTCCACTCTTGCGAGAACTAATATATAACATTATCCCCTTGTCCAGGTAAATATATGTCTAGTACTACTAAGATACTCTACCCGATATTACAATTAATACAAGTAAATAGCCACTTTTTAAGCCTATTATTAAGTACATAACTCTCTCTCTCTCTAAATATATATATATATATATAAAAGAATATTCAGCTTTGCACTCCTACTAATAAAATATTAATAGTTGGTGCTCAGAAAAACAAATTATAATCAGAAAGAAAATGCCAGCACCAGGTGTTGTCCTGATGAAAGTCTGCATGGTGGACTGAAACGTTGGCATGCTTGGATAATTCTTAAATTAAGAAAAACTTCTGGAAAAAGAGTGCTGGCGTTGTTGTTCTGATTTTTATATATATATATATGTATATGTACTTATCCAAGGTGCAAACCATTGTCCATCCTGTCATCGTATTTATTTACGAACTCTCCCAGGAATGCAGTCAGAGCCTATCTCCCAGGACCCAGGAGTCATGCAGGGGTCCAAGAACCATGAATTTGCTTGGCCTTGGCTGTATCATTCTTCTCTAGCCAAAGGGACATGTAGCTGTGATTTCCTTAAACAGAGACCAATTTGAAGATATGCATTGCTATCTATCCCTCATCTCCCTTACAAACACACACAGATTTGGATCCTGACCCATGAGGTAGGAACCTCTGACAATGAACCTTGCACCAATTCATATCACATGCACCTTGTTGGTGTCCATCTGTTGGAATCCATCAATCTGATTTCCAGTCACATTCAGTCATAGTATTCTGCAACTTGGACATATTGTTCCTCTAGTCTAGGCTGTCAGTGCTTGTCAGAGGGTCATCATATCTCTTCCTAAATTTATCCGTGTGCATGACCAGCAGGTAAACGTAACAACAATAACTAGCAAATGTTTGTTTCCAGGCCGTGGAAAAAGCTTTCTTATCCTCGTCTGGTTTCTACTGGCAGACTGTGGAGACTGATGAGAAGCTCAGTCCTCAAGGCCTTGAGATAGATGGAGATATTGAGACCGAGGTGAGGAACATCTAAAATTCTTGTACTGATGAATGTTCTGCTCGATAAACATCCCATAAAATGATCTCTTTCCTCCATAGGTGGTGTCTGTTACCTTGTTTGACTCACTGCTGAGAGATCCCGCCGCGTTTCACCATATTCTGCACCTCGTACTCATGAAGGGGCTTGATGTGTGTGCTCTCAGGTTACTGTATCCGGAGCGCACTCTTCTTCACTCTTATATAGGTAGAATTACTTCTTACAGTGTAAATGGCACAGAAAGGTGTCAGCTATTAGATGTTTGCATTACCCTGGGCCTAGCACAATGAGATTATAAATCACTGGTTAGCAGGTCATTTATCGTTCACCCTAATAGTTCAGGATTTAAGGATTAATAAAACTAGAGCTGAGAGTGATGGTAGGACTGGTTTAGTATCCGCTTCTATTGAAAACAAATCAATGTTATTATTTTTCTTGCCTGGAAGTCTTAATCCAACCTGTTAGTTTCCATGTATTATCCTGATCCCTGGGGAGCTGCTTTCATCCTCGAGCTCTCTGTTACCAGTAAAACATTTAGGAAGTGACACAAACATACATGACAACCATCACTTCCTAGGATAATTAATATCATATTGATATATCCACATCATGATTCCATGCCACTCATTTTTCTAAGCTTTGGTTATGGTGAATCATGCACCATAACCACTGCAGTGCTCTATAGTGGTTGTGGTGCTAGGAGGTTCCCTCTCCAGTGCTAGCATGGTTTGACACTTAACAGGATCCCCTGGATACCCACACTGCGGCCACATCTTCAGATGGAATAGTTCACAGGTCTGCATTCAATATTTCGATGAGATATATCTTTTCTTTTTTAAAATAGTTTTAGAAATATCTGTGAAGAGGGATCAGACAAAATTGTTGTTAACTCTTACCTGGTGTACGGTGTCAGGAGACACCTGGCGCTATTTAATGGTTATGTTGCTTTGACTATAGGTGAATTCCATGTTTTTCTCAATAATGCTATTTTTAGAGAAGTGTCGATTCTCCTTTAAGCCACCTCTACAACCACTTTTTTAATAATGTGCTATATCCTGTTTCATCCTGCTTTGTTAGCTACTCTTAGATTATTCCCACATTAGTGCATTTAGAATTCACTGGTCACACATAGGGATTTATTCCTGTGAAATACAACTGATTGGTCCTTATATTATTCTGTCCACCAAAAGTAAGTCTCCAAATACTCCGCTCTAATAAACCTGCCTATAACAAGTAGGATTTATTTTTTTAATAGATGTGTCTATTTATTTATTTTGTTTCTCTCATAGATACAATTCCTCCATCCTACATTAGGGAAGGTGGTCAAGCGCCACCGGTTTTGGCTTTAGCGCTGCGGGGACACCAAGCAGGAAAGGCCTGGAATGATCTGTCAGGCTCATGTGACTCCGAACTTGCCAGACGAGTGGATCCATGTTCCATACATGCACTTTACGGCTTCAGGAAAGAGGAACCCATTCTTGATGCCGTGCGCAGTTCTAATCGCCTGTTGCGGGATCTCTGTTTTTGGTTTGGGGGAAGAATAACCAGTTTTGATAATGTAAAAATCGGCATCCAGAATTCAGTTGGAAAGCACACAGACTCATGCCGGCCTCCCACTTTCCTTACTGCCACTATTATGGGTAAGTTAGGGCTTTGTGTGGGACCACAATGGTTCTGGTTTTGTACTTGTCTATTTTGTCTGCGCAGCTGTGCATGCTGGAATTTTGAAAAAGCCCAAACATGACATTATATTATGGTGGCAAAGGCATCCCTTTTGGCTTACAAACTCAGGGAAAATTCCCCAAGTTGGCTGCTTGCTACTGCTATAGCTATACGTTCATGACGATCCACGCTGCATTGCACACGTGACGCCAACAGCCAATCAGAGTCTGTGATTTGTAGAGTACATCTTTGATGTAGCTATGTGACCAAAATGTGCAACATGTTAGCTGGAAATTGTTTTGTTTTTGGTTTAATAAACTGCTTATTAGTTTGACTAATGCTAAACTTGATGCATGGAAAATATGTGACTGTTATATAAGAGGAAGTACCCTCTCGGAGCTGTGTAAACCATTTAAGAGATATTTAGTGCGGAGCAGTGGTCACCCAAAGCAGTGCATTCATATTGCAGTGACATCAGCTTCTTATTAAACGAGCAATGCAATGTTTAGAAGTTGTATTAGTCCGTGCACTAACATCGTGGTTTCTAAGTATTGAATACCCCATGTGCACTTAGTCATGATAATTTCAATGATCTCAATAATTCCTCTCTTGCCTTCCAGGGGACGTGTTCCTGGTGGCATCACCAGCGGTTCCACCATTGGCTTACGGAGACATTATAGACATTTGCCATCAGCGAGGATTTACTCTGCAAGGTGTGCGACGCCTCCGTCTGACCGCGAAGCGTGCAGCAATGTTGAGCATGTCACCTAACCAGGTACTGTATACAGTAGATAAGCAAACTAAAGCCTCGATTTAAGATTTTTGTATAAACATTACAAATGATTTAATAGTTTTAGATTGAAACTTATGGTCTGTAGTAGGAATGGTTAAGCGTGACATATCCCTGTCTGCACACAAATAAAAAACAAACAAAAGAGAACTATAATATATGAAGTGTTGATCTAGTAACGTTTATTGTGAAACGCGTAGACTATATTTGTCTGGAGATTAAATCTGCTAATACCTGGCACGTTGTGGATGCAGGGCAATTTTAAAAGTCCACGAGGGGTGAATAAAGCTTTAGTTTTATTTTAATCAAGCGACCGGGGGTTCCATTTTTCTCATTATATGCATATATTGAGAATATTGTGAGAATATTGTGAATATATTACCCCAAGGTTGTCCTAAAGAAGGCTGGCGTTGGGATATTCTGTCCTTCTGAAGGCAGCTTAGTGCAGATATTTAACTTTTCTAGTTGGCATCTGCTCAGCTTTTTGCTAGTTTAAAATACAAACAAAAATAAGAGGACAACAACAACCACACCCGACACGTACACGAAAAACTCGCTTTTAAAGCATATGCTCTAAACAACCGGATTGTCATGAAAAGTGGATCCAGCGTACGTTTTAGTGACTGCGAGAAACACACAGATTATTCTCTTTCCTGTATCGTATATATTATACCCACTGCCGGGCATAATAAAACACAGTTTGTCACTACAAACCAAGCACTTATAATATTACGGTTTGATTTTCTTTTATGACTATATTACTCACTTTTATAATTGTAGGATTTTTGTTTTGTTTTGCTGTTTCTCATCGTCTTGTCTTGTTCTGGTTGTATTATGTTAAGAGGATTCTAAACTTTTTTTTTTTTTTTGGTCCATCTTTGTTTCATTGAAGCAACTTAAATGAAAGGAATAAAAATAGACATATACCAGCAAAAATGCACACATATACAGTAAGCAGTAACATGAATACATTCTCTCGTTTGATGTGTTTGTAGCGTAATCATGCTAAAAGTCAGGCTAGTCAGAGAAGAGGTAAACAATAGGCATGCCAGCAGGATGGCAATAGACAGCAATGAATAAGACAGGTGGCACTAACTGACAATGCCTTGCATTATTGTAAACGGTTGTGGCTTATAGGTAGGTAAAGCAGTCTTGCTGAAGAGCTATCAAAAGGATAAACGTGGTGTAACTGTGACTGCCTTATAAGATACTAGAACAGGCTTATAGGTAAGTAAGGCAGTCATGTTGGAGAGATATCGTGCTATAGCGTTAAACATGCCCATCAAGACATTAAGCAGTGACTTGTAGTTGATAAGCTAAATAGGAGATAAATAAAAAGATAAAAAGAAGATTAAGCAACAAGGGGGAAACAATGCTGTGTGAACCACTGGAGACTCTTAAGGGAATCCACACCACCCCCTGGGCTCAGCTCCACCAGACCGCCGGTTATTGCAAGTATGCAAGCCTGCTACTTCCTTTGGACCTGGTCAATTCCCGCCTCCAGCCGAAGTGTTGTTCTAGCCGAGTCCCGCCAGGCCCAGGCCCTACTTGAGCCTACAACCCTTGCCCTCAGTTCCTGCTCCGGTAGAGGTCAGCAACGTGGGCCTGGCAAAGTGTAGGGAGTAGGGCCGTGGTTCGAGGATTGTCCTCTAAGGGCTCATAGTTCAGGAAGGTAGTTGTGGGAACCAGGTGAGCTCATGGGACATGTGGGAGCCAAGGTTATGTTGTGAATTGCTGGTTTGGCCGGCTTCCAGGGGTGGGGGCCATGGTCGGCATTCGCCTTAGCCCGCGGCTCCTCTTGCCAGTCGCCTTCTATGCTGTACCTAGGATGGGCGGCAAGGCCGCCAGTTTGCGTTTCAGGAGTGGGAAGCCAACTGCTGGGCAATCTTGGTGGGGTCGTTCAGCGTGATGTCAGCACCCTGGGAACTGGCATAGCCCCTGCCGGTCCAAAGGTGGGGGGGGGTGAATGGGGCCAGGAAGGCATCAGGTGACTTGCTGTTGTCCGTTAGTCGGGCGGAAAGCAAACAGCAGCCGTCCGCCTCACTCCCCTCTCTGGTAGGCCTCAGTCATCAAGTCTCAGAGTTGCTCCCGGGACCCAGAGACACCCGCTATCAGGCGCTCCAGCTGCACGGGGACACTCCAGGACCATGTACCTTAAGTCTCTGGGGTATTGCAAGCAGGGTAAAGTAGGTTTGTGGCAGAAAATAGCTTGATTCCCCGGGAGCCATAGTGACTTGCAGCCTGCTAGCATGACCACCAGGCACCTCCCCCCGAGGATTATAAACTAAACAGTAATATGTGGTAAACTGGAAGCCAAGTGGCAACATTTGAAGGTCCATATTGCCAAGCTAGAAAAATTCTTTATCATAGCTAACTTTCCCACTGCACTAGTTTGTCCTACGTTTCCAATTTGGTTAACTTCCCAAACTATACTATTTAGTGAATAAATCACCAGTTTATTATGAAAACCCTAAACTGTTTGAGCTACCTCACCTTCATGCTTTGCTAGACTTAAGACAGCTCTACAGCAGCTAATGGTCTGTTTATGTCCTCCATCCTCCATCCTCCATGCTATAGATCAGAGCTTCCCAAAAAGGTAGAAGCATTGCTCTTGCAGAACTACAACTATAAGTAAATTCTGCAAGAGCATCATGGGATTTGTAGTTCGGCAAGAGTTGAGGGTCTCAATTTGGGGCACCCTTGCTATAAAAATGTAAGGGAGAGACACATTCTCAAGGTTACAAGAAAGAAAGTACTTGGTGTCTTTTCATAGTCTCTAAGGCTTGTTCACTAAATATTTAACAGTAGCAAATTAAAAGCCAGTTATCCAAATTCAGGCTAAAATAGCCGAGCTCAGAGTAATTGGAGACGTTTTCCAAATCAGCTGTTATGGCCTACATTTCCAAAGGCAGTTTTAATTCACTACCAATCACTGTTTAGTGAGTAAACCCTCCTGTCTCAGACCCTATTTATCGATATGTCTTTTCATAGTTTTGGGTGTAATCTGTTACAATGCATAGTAATCTTTCAGTTGAGCTTTTTGTTGGAATCCTTTCTGAAGTAGGTCATGTGGTTGCAGGTGCCTGTATATTGCCCAGGTAGTCCTTCTACACAGCCAGTAACACAGCCTTACCCTCGCTTACACTGTCTGCTGCTTTTACTAAGGAAAGAGAATGCCGGTCACCAAGTGCCAGGACTTATCCAAGGTAAAAACCTTTTTTCATTAAACGCTGTTTGTTTTTTTGTTTCACTTTTTTATTTATACTTAGTTTTGGTTTTGCAATAGATGGTATTTCTCAACTGAATGCGACTCATGATCGAACTCAGAAAGATGAACGGCTGTGTTAGTCTTGCCGACAATTCATGTAGTTTCCTAGCACCATAACCGTCACAATAACTTGTAGTGGTTATAGTGCTTGAAGCATCCCTTTAAGGTGGGTAGGTGAATATATAAAGTGACTGTGTGAGGTTCCTACATTAGAAAGAGCTGACTAGTAGTAAGATTTTCTTTATATCTGTGACGGACCGCTGGCACTCCGACTGAGTACCTCCGCCAATCGATGCTCCTAGCGCTTGTCGAGGACTCCAAGCATTCCAACCGACACCATCAGCAGTGCGGACCCTACTTCCAGAGATGCAGCTGCGCCGGGGTCTCGCCTTCTCTCACCCACCCTGGATCCACGACCAGGATCCAGCTCCCAGTGGGTGAACCTCTCCTAAATCCAGAGAGCGTAGCAGGAACAAATCAAGCTCTTACAAGAGCTTACTCTGGGGGGTAAGTGATTATAGCAATCCCCAGAGTGTAGGTATCCCTTCCCCCAAGCATGAGCCAAGGCTTCAAGAAAGGTGCAAGTAGGTCTGGTTTATTGAGGGCTACCTGCCCGGTATTTATGCAAGTGTCCACCAGATGGACACTCCCCTAGGGGACCTGATGGAATAATGGGACACATATTGGATATTACCCAATCACAGACAATACAAACAAAACACTCCCACAGTGACATCACAATCCCTCCTCTCTATCCTGGAGATAATTGGGAAATAATCAAATTATCTCCCAGGACAGAGGCAAGACTCCATTAACCACATGGTTACAAAAAGACATAAAATTACACAATGGTACAATTACTACATAAAACATATACATGCAACATATCCCCAGATAACTTAGATCTGAGCGCACATTATTACCGAATGGCGCTCAGATCACCTACATACAGTTCAATCGCCATGGAGCCAAAGTCTTTTCTATAGTCTTTTGTTACACGAATAGACTCCATGGCAAAGCTATCTGGGGTAGCACTACTCACATACGGAAAGTCCCGAACGCCCCGGCAGAAATACACAAACAAACCTTTCTGCAGGGGAAAATACAGCTATCAGCACAGGGGCCATAGTCAGAAGGCAAGAGGCTAGCCAGTAGTCCCCTCCAGGCACAAGTGGCGAAGGGCACTTCGTCACAATATCCCTTCAGTTATTTCTTTAAATGCACAGAGACCAAATCAGCAATATTCCTAACAGTTTCTATTGTACTGATATATTCAGTAATGAGATCATTTTACAGGCTGCTAGCCTGTGTTATCATATCTATTGAAATGATCCTTACTGCTTTCATTGTGGGAGTCATTTCTTTATACATCAACAGGATATTCTATTAACCCTGTTACAATTAATTTTACCCAAAACCTTCAATGAGCACCTGAAATTGCAACGTTATTCAACGTCTATAAAGCAAGTCTTTATTTTTTATCATTTTCCGTATCACTGCCACAATTTTCTCCCTTCAACTATTGTTGGGACCTGAAATCTAATTGGAAGCTTAAATTAGTAACTGAGAATGTAGTCTGTTGGTATGCGGTGCTAAAATATGCCGAATCCCAAAGGAAAGGTTAGCTACCTTAGACTGGCAAAGCATCATGGGGGCTGTAGTTCTAGAACTGCTGGTGGTCTATCTATTGGCCACCTTTGGTCTATGTTTTTACCATCTCATGTAAATTGTCATTTAAAGTCACAGCATGTACTCGGCTATTTAAACTAGGAACTATATGACCGAATTTGTCTCTTTAACAGAGCCTTCTCCTATCAACACTGAACTTCCTGTCCATTTACTTACATAGGCCTCAATTTAATACATTTTCCAATAATGTTAGAAAAACTTCCAAGTGATTGGATGAACTCACTCCCAGTGGAGCTAAATACAGCTGTAGGGGTTTTCTCCATTCATTTATTTTTCACACCTCAGAAACACGTAAATGCTAAATACAAGGGATATGTAACATGATAGGAAAAAATCCTGGAAAGTGAGATGTGCCCTTTAAATGGCTTATTACTGTCACCGTTCTCACTAATCACTCTCTTTTTCACTAGGACTGATGAATGGACTGGCCGAGCAAGGTCTCCTGGGATTAATCCGAGATAATTTCACTTATCCAGCTGAACTTGATCCCAACCTTTGCTTTCACGCTGCACCTTATTTCGACAGCCTGCTGCAGACCTTGGGTAACGTATTCTGTTTTATTCTAAAGCCTAGTGTAATTTTCAGTGAATTCCTGACAAGTCACGGTTTAGTAAATTAACCTACAAATGGCAGGTTTTCTAAGTTAATTGGGTGAGGCCTATATAAAACACTCGTACCTGGAGAGAATATTTGGGCAAGATATGTGTGTTTCGTAACAGGTGGGGTTTGTGTGGGGAATGAAGGAGACTTGGCAGGGTAACTGCAAATAATAGACCAAAATTGCATAACTGGCCATTTCCCTGGAACAGGTGGCAGTCTTCATGCCGTACCGGAACCTAGCTACGTCACGATGGGCATGTCATCTGCTCAGCCTTATCCCTCTGATCCGGAAAATGAACAAGTTGTTCTCCTTGCGATGAGTGGAACACAGATCTTAAAGAGAGCAGGCCACCTACTGCGCCAGATCCTGCGACCATGTCTTAAAATGCAGAAATCAATCCCAGGTAGGTAACACCTGTAAGAACAATCGTGTTGGTAATATAGGCTGGTATTGTCTGGAATAATCTGTCAACAAAGTGATTCCATCTAAGCTGAGCAGCAGTGGTAGGCTGAGAGCACGGGGGGGGGGGGAGGCGGAATTCTCTAGCACCATTTTGTATTCAGTGATTATGTCGTGGGTAGTTTAAAAAGAACCTTGCAGGTAAGTGGATTTCTGACAGTTCTAAGTATTTTTCTGATGTGGAATGGTTTTCATTTTTAAAGAGAAACCATCACCTCTCTGGAAATGACATCATCGAATAAAACATTAAAAATTGTTGATTAACAATTAATGATTAACAAATGACATCATAATCCATCTCCTGGCACAGCCAAGGCACACTATGCAAATGAAGAGGAGAAATAGAAACAATGTTTCAGTTCTTTTTTTTTTTCTTTGTATGCTTTCTCTATACTAACTGCCAGGTGCAAAGGACAGAGCTTATAACAATGACTGACAGGGAGCTAAGATGGAGGCATCCGGATGCAGGTTAAAGAGATGTGGATTTCCATTTAATTTTATTTTTCACACCTCACACAAACAGGTTTGGAATAGGACATAAATTTAGAGATGTATCTACCTGAAAGCATGGATTAGCCTTTACCATGATAACTACCAAAGCAGGTTTGTGCATCCACTCGTGCTTCCTAACCCTCCTTATGCGTTTGGTGAATCAATCATCATCATTACTATTATTGCAGCAACATATTCTGTATCGCTGTACAACAAGACAAGTCAGATGTACAGAAGCTTGTGAAAGAAGCTTACAATCTAAGGGTAGTGTATAACTATACAAATGGTACAATGTATTCCATACAAAGTAAAACATGGTTGCAAAAAGAGTTAACAATAAAATGAGATCTTGATTGTTACGTGATGCAGCTGCCGCAGAGGAAGTGAGTTTGAGGCCGGATATGCCTTCTTGATTTAGGTATGAAGTGATGTAGTGATGTTTTTGAAGGAATGGAGTCTCTAGGGATTGTAATGGAGTGCGGAAGGGCATTCTGTATGTACGCTGCAGCCCTAGAGAGGTCTTGTAGCTGGGAGTCGGAGGTGTGGGTATTTTTATTTGTGACGATACATAGAAACATAGAATGTGACGGCAGATAAGAAGCATTCGGCCCATCTAGTCTGCCCAATTTTCTAAATACTTTCATTAGTCCCTGGCCTTATCTTATAGTTAGGATAGCCTTATGCCTATCCCACGCATGCTTAAACTCCTTTACTGTGTTAACCTCTACCACTTCAGCTGGAAGGCTATTCCATGCATCCACTACCCTCTCAGTAAAGTAATACTTCCTGATATTATTTTTAAACCTTTGCCCCTCTAATTACGTAGATACATAGATAGTGCAGTGTTATGAAGTGATGTATAAGTGAGGACTAGAATTTGAATGTGAACCCTAACTCTTATGGGAAACCATTGTAAGGAATGGCAGAGAGGAGGCGTAACAGGGCATGATGGGAATATGTAAGACCAATGGCCAATGCAGGGGAGTACACCACCAAAGAGCTGTTTGGCTAAATACCATGGAAAAAGCAGTCCACAACAGCTACAGTGCCAAAATATAGCAAGCCGCAGCATACAACTAGCCTTTGTAGTTTTAATGGTTTTTTTCCCCCAAAAAATTTATGGACTTGCAGTTCCTAAACAGATCACTGGGTGGCAGCATACACTATAATTTTAGAATCCCTTAATTGACATAATCTTTTTTTTTTTGTCCTTGTGTATCAGTGTCAGCATGTTAGAAAGTGACAAAGTTACATTATCCCTTTTTCTTCTAATTTGCTGGTGAGACTGACAGAATTTTAAGAATATTAAGCATTGCAATAAAATGCCAAAGGATTCCGTAAAAATACACAGGCTTACACAGTTCTAACTTGTAGTTGGGCTCTATTTTTTTATATAGAATTTTAATTATAGAGGGTTGAAGAATAATCTAAAATGTTTTTTGTTATTTTAGCAATATCCTTAATATATGGCTAATTATACATTAAAAAGATCATCGTTTCACTCGCTTTAAGAATACCATCTCCATAAAGTGGAGAAAAGAAGGGGAGGGAGGGGGTGCTACGCATTTTAAGACAACCTTTCCACTTTAGATTATCAGGCAAAGAAACACATGCAGTTACACAGCCCTTTTATTTATTACACAATGAAACATTAAACTTTTGATATCTTAGTAAGGGGGAAACACAGACACAACATATAGAAAGAAATTAGAAATCATTTTGGAAAATAAAGTCATGATTTCAGTATGTTTTGTAAGCTGCTCAATTCAAGTGACAAACACTTGGATGCAGAGATATGATTTATTATGTATTATTTACATTGTGATAATAAATGATGTGGCATTACATACAGTCAGTAATGAGTATCGAGGTACAGTGGCAGGTAGTGAATTTTTTATTTTTTTAGTAAATTCAGAAGATTTGCAATCTCAGACTTTGAAGGTTAACATTAGAACTCCTTAACCTGGTTTAGCATTGTGGGAATTGTAGTCCACAGACATCTGGCTTACCAGTGTTAGACATGACTGATCTAAACACTCCCGATGCAAGAGGCAGGTAAGTGGTAATACATTATTGGAGGTCGATAGAGGATCTGTTGGACCGTTTAAAAATAGCAACAAAATGTTTTTGAGGTTTTTGTCTGCCCCGATGAGCAATGTAAAGATGGTATTAAGAAGCCTAGCTACAAGGAAGCGTAGATGTGTATGTCCCTGATCTTTTACAGCAGAATTTGCTAGATGGGATTTCTGCTCCTGGTAATTGGTTAACACACAGTAAGTTTAATAATAAATATTTTATTCGCTATTTATCAGGCATGTAGTTCCATTATTTCTACCTGTTAATGTATAGCTAATGGGAAAGATCGTTTAACTGCATTCAATCTGCAGGAGTCTCTATAATGCATGGATATCGAACTCTCATAATTTATGTAAACGATCTTCACGATAATGCCCCATGCAAAATTAAATAAATAAAAAATCTCTTGCATCATAGCTCCACCCACTTCCCCCTCTCCTCCAACAGGAAGAAAGGCATAGTATAAGCAACGTACAGCTAGCTGTACTACTCCCAGACTCCTTTGAAGCTTACTGCCATGACAGGTGTGTGTGTTTTCCTTTTGTGTGATTTTTATCCCACCTCATGTAGATTGTAAGCTCTTTAGAGCAGGTTCCTCGTTACCTCTTGTGTCGGTATGTCAAGCTTATTTCATGAAATTTGCTTGTATGTGGGTTTTTTTTCGTCCACCTGTTGTTCCGTACTGCCCTTTAAATAAATCACCAATAGCCTTATTGGAAGAGAATCAGGAAAGTCCACATTTTGGACCTTTGGGATTTCTTGTGAACTAGGCTAGACACCACTGGATTAAAAAATATATTTGTGTTGATTGTGTCTTCCTTCTCCCTGAGCAGCCACTCTTGACCTCTATACCTGTAACCTTTACTGTTATGCCAAAGTCTACGAAGGTCAAAACATGTGTAGTGAAATTAATTTTTATTTCTACAATGTAAGACATTTGGCTAGCACAATGTATAAGTGAAAGGGTCTTTAAAAAGTGACACACTGTAAAATAAACGACAGGTGCTCTTAGTATTTGGGTTGGAACTTCAAAAGGATACTGCTTGTTGTTCGTAAGCCGAATGGATTTGCTAAGCACTCGCAGGTCACAGGGAAATTAATTATATTTTGGGCTAACGGCTTAATGCATTCATTTCAGATCTAAGTAAAGGGAATTCGGTGAGGGACATCGAGTGTTGAGAAACTCCTTTTTGCAACAAGAAAATGAAAAAAAACACAGTGTTCCTGTAGCAATAAGTCAGCAGAACATTGTTCTTCTGTAAGAAACGTGCAGCCGGCACGTCAGGTCTCATGGGCCTGGGGATCTGGCATAATCAGACCTTGTGATACAGCCACGGATTTTCCTGCAGACATAAGCACATCTGTATATTACACAGACTCCTGACTTTAGAGCTTTTCAAAGCCACAGCTGTAGGGATGCCCCAGATACAGAGACTCCTGTTGTCCACTAATGTGTCTCCAGTGACTGTGAAACCTTCTCATCATGGTGTCCCCTCCAACCCCCTCACTATTGCTCATGTGCCTCGTTCTCTATCACAGTAAAGGTTAGATACTTATCTCCTGTAGTGCACAAACTAGACGATGACAATTATTGCGTGGGTATCTATCTCTCATTTCATAACTTAGCTATAATGCTTTTTCCATCTCTTGGTATTGCCTTTATTTCATGTCTGTCTAATGTCCTGCTTTGGAATACTGGCTCTGTCTCTTCGGTAAACCTTGTCCTACTTTCTAACTATGGCCCCGATTTTATATTTTTGGCTAGGCTTTTTAAATGATTTAATATTTAGAAAAAAAAGTTTTGTATTTGATATTTTTTTTATATATTGATATATTGTATACATTATATGTTTGAATGTTACATTTAAAAAAAAAATTACATTGTTTGAAATGCTTATCCAAAAATATTAAATTGAGGCAAATGTCCCTTTCTAGGGGCTTGGAATGTTTGGGGTGTATAGGTGTATCAAGTTGGCCCGTGTCAAAAAAACTCACTGTATGATACAATGTGGATGGTATATCGCAGAGATCCACAGCAATACAACTCACAGTAATTTGACGAATGCATGAGTGTATGATTGTACGTGTATCACAGAGCTCCACAACAATACAACTCACAGTCATGGGGATTGTTTATAAGTGTATCACAGAACTCCACAGCAATAAAACATTGTACAATAGTATCACAGTATCCCACAGTAAAAACTCTTGCCAGCTTCCCCCCCTCCCCACCACTACACACATACACAATAAAGTAATGCTTTAAAATAACATAGCCAATATCCAGCACCAGGTGAAGCTCCACCACATTTCATTGGACTGGTCAACTGGCTAAAAGCATATGCGCTTGCTCTGAGCCACCAAGGGAAAGGGAGGGATCATTAAAAAAATTAATAAGTGGGAGGAGAGGAAGGCTTAAATTTAGGAAGAATTGAGGGGAGACAAACACTTCTCCTTGCAGACTCTGTCAGTGTGTAGTGTGAGCTGATGACTGATGTATGTTTTGCACAGAATTGACATTTGACTGTCCGGAATACAAACTTACCGTGTCTTCTAGAAACAGAAGTGGTCATGGTAGTTGGAGTAACCCTTTAACAGCAAGATGAAGAGAGCAGTGCATTGAAGGATTTATTTGTCCTTTATATAACAAAGCAGCAAATGTTGATACTGAGAGATTTATTTCTCTGATGACAAACCAGTATCCAGTGCACTACTGTCAACAGATTTGGATCTTTGATGCCAAATCAGTATGCAATGCGTTGCTACTTTTGGATTTATTTGTGACATAGCAGTTAGAATACGTTGCTACCGAGGGATTTATTTGACTCTCTGATGACAGAGTAGTAAGAATCTATTTTGCTACCAAGGGATTTATTTGACTCTCTGATAACAAAGTAGTAAGAATCTGCTTTGCTACCGAGGGATTTATTTGACTATCCGATGACCAAGTAGTATAAATGTGTTTTCCTACCAAGGGACTTATTTGACTCTCTGATGACAAAGTAGTAAGAATGCATTGTTAACGAGGAATTTATTTAACTCTCTGATAACAAAGAAGTAAGAATGCTTTGCTACCGAGGGATTTATTTGACTATCTGTTGACAAAGTAGTAAGAATGCATTGTTACTGAGGGATTTATTTGACTCTCTGTTGACAAAGTAGTAAGAATACGTTGCTACCGAGGGATTTATTTGACTCAAAGTAGTAAGCACTTGTCCTACAACAGTTAAATGTGTTTTCCTTAGTTCTGTGTCTGTAGGAGTCTGACGACATTTGTTCTTTCCCTAACTTCATATTTATACTGCAAACTCTGAGAGATTTGGCTCTTAGCCCTGGGCTCCCATCGGCTCACCCTCCTTAATGGGAACAGAGAGCCTGAGGCCATTCTGTCAGCACATCCAATCCGAGAGATGGCTATTTTAGGGAAATTCCATAAATAAAACTCCTTTCTCCATGGATTTCCCTGTCGGTAACATTGTTTGGAGACCAAGGAACACACCTGCATGCTTTTCCTTAGACCAATCATCGTGAATTAGCCTGAGTGGGAGCAAATGAGAAACTTAGAAGTGCTTTAAATAGTGGTGAACTGTTAATGCATACCAGGAAACCCCTGACAGTTGTAACCCCTTCACGGCAAGTTATTAGGAATGTTCTTTGAAATTGTGTCTTGATACGTTATCTGCCATGAAGCAGGTAAAATGCACCTATGATACCGTGGTCATATTTTGCATGTCCATTGTATTTGCCAGATTTCTAGCAAAAATAAATATATAGGTCATGCTTTCGATGTCTGCACAGATTAATAAAACTAACTACGCCAAAATGCAGCATCCCATAATTCTAAGAACACAGCCATGAGATAGGCATTTTGGGTAGCCACACACAGCATTGTGGGAGCTCAGAAATTTTATTGAATTTCACAACAGAGAGCAACAATGAATTCAAGCATTCGTTTTCATCTTTGGTTTGCTGAGAATTGTACTAGCACAATGTATACATACAGTTTTAATACTTGATATTTAATAACCAATTACAACTGAATGGGAACCATGAGTTCTCTGGAAATGTACGGTATTGAACAAAACATTGAAAATCACCTATAACTTGTATTAAAGTGGCTCTGTCACTTCTGAGTATTTCATAAAGATATAATGTTTATAAAATCCTGATGCTGAATCAGATGGAAATTCCAATGCAATCCAAAGATACCATAAGACAAAGCAGAGACCACTTTGTCTTATGGCCAAGCCTTTGATTGACAAAAGCCTTTGATTGACTCCAACGTCAAATTATGTCCAATCCCAGATTCAGGCACCATCTTGTTTATTGCGATCTCCTCCATGGACGTCAGTGATGTAATTTTGTACATATGTAAGAATACAGCACTGATGAAGTTCCCTGAAGTTGAAGCACCAGGACCCGGAGAGGGTCCCCATGAAAAAGGTGGAGGTCAAGCTTTAGATAAGTACACCTACTTTTCACTGCACCCCGTGGACATCGGATCCTAATTGAAGATGTCACCCCCAAAGGTGACAGATCCGCTGTAGCCTTTTTGTCACGTGGTGCTCTGTTCTTTTAAATGTTCTTAGATCTTTATCAATGGACATCACTGTACGATACAATGGTAGTATGGATTTCTACATTAAATTTTTGTTCCACCTCACAAACATATTTTTGTTAAGTATTATAAAACCTATGAAGTGATGGTTTCCTTTTAGACAGGACAAAGTACTAAACGTTTAATCTTTATTGCAGAATCAAAGTTTCACCAGTTTGAAGTTCTGGGTCTGAAGTGGTTGCCCCGCTTGAGTCGACTACAAGCCAAAGAAATCACTCCTTATGAGGTGGGAGACCGCCCCTGGCAGAAAAGTGTGGAGCAGCTGACTTCTAACCCAGCTCTCCTGTGTGCCCTACGCCGAGTCTATGCCTTTACTACACTAGAACACGCCATCCGAGAACTGTCATCCATGACAGATAAAAAACTACCCCAACTCATCATGTCTGCCACTCCAGAAATTGCCTTCCGTCAGGCAGCCCTAATCTTCATGGACAAAGAACTGATTCCTGGTAAGTATTGCTTTCTGAAGTAAGTTTTTAGTTACCAAATTCTAGTTCCTTAAATTGGTTTGACATCTGGTGACACCATTTATAAGAGGTGCAACAGAAATATTGAGTGTTTCGACAGCCAATGGGCATATACTAGTATGTGGTGTAGGTTTTACCTTCGGATCGGTAACTTTCCCTTAGAGGTGCTTTTAATGACCGAGTTCTTCAACCTCTCGGAAGGAACGCTTGAAGGTTTCCGGTGGTATATTTGTCTCACATTGAAGTCAATGTTGTTCTGCATGTGGGTTGGATACTACTCTCAACATCCACTGCTATGAACCATATATAAATATGTAATATATAATAACACTGTAGCTTTTTAAAATTATTATTACCTTTAGATCCAGAGAGCCGCAGCATCCTGAAATATATTGCACCACCATCAATGAGCTGCAGGTCTGGAGGTGAGAATGAGTGACAGACAACTGCAGTCACATTATTTTGCTGATAATATAGAATTTTTTTTTAAGTCATGGGTTAAAATGCACAATACTACATCCATGTGTTAAATAATTTCTTTCGTGCCTTTGGTAGGTGCAGAAGATCACAAGTGGCAGACTGAGTCCATATTCACGTACATGCTGTCAGGTAAGACCATACCTCCCTAGATTTAATGATCCTGAGATTTCCAGTTGGTTCTGTAAAAACTCCGACATCTTCCATGTTCTACAAGACTGGACAGTCACTAGTTGCAGCTGGATTTAACTTTCCATCTTTTTTCATCACTTGTCTTAAAGCAGCAGGTGGACATAAGGTGCTTGAATCTGGTGGACTGGTTTCTTTTTGAGGCATCGTTAGTCTAGGATTACACAAGGGTTAAAGAAATCATAATCTTGAGAATTATCTCTAGTTTATATGAGAGAGAACATCCAGAGAAGCTCAAATAAATATTTAAATGTTATAGAACGTGTCTGTTTATAGTAGACAGGTGACTTCCATTAGTCTACTCCCTTTTTAAAAAAAAATTTTTTTGAAAATTATCTGAATCCAGAGATATAACCTTGGACAATGAATTCGTAAGCCGACATCCATGTTGGAAGCAACAAACCAGTCTCTTTGTTTATTCTTATCCACACAATTTCTGTTCGTTACCCATACTTTGAGCTTTGTCTGTATTCTGATTTGATACCAGTATACCAATCGGAATACAGATTTGATTTCAATTGAGCCATGATCTTTTCTTCACCAGCACCTTCTATTACCCACTTTCTGCAAAATACAGGTCCTAGTGCATTAATACCATGCTTAGCCTGGATACCCTACATCATTTCAATAAATATTTGAACATGTCAGTGTGGCATGTACAGTCCATAATAACAGCAGATTATTTAAAGGACCACTATAGTGCCAGGAAAACAAACTCGTTTTCCTGGCACTATAGTGCCCTGAGGGTGCCCCCACCCTCATGGCCCCCCTCCTGCCGGGCTGAAGTTGGAGGAAGGGGGTTAAACACTTACTTTTCTCCAGCGCCGGGCTCCCTCAGCACTGGGGACTCTCCTCCTCCTTTGGACGTTATTGGCTGAATGCGCATGCGCGCCAAGAGCCGAGCGCGCATTCAGTCAGTCCATAGGAAAGCATTCTCAATGTTTTCCTATGGACGGCAGGGTTATCTCACTGTGAAAATAACAGTGAGAAGTACAGAAGCGCCTCTAGTGGCTGTCAATGAGACAGCCACTAGAGGCTGGATTAACCCAAATGTAAACATAGCAGTTTCGTTGAAACTGCTATGTTTACAGAAGGCAGGGTTAAACCTAGATGGACCTGGCACCCAGACCACTTCATTAAGTTGAAGTGGTCTGGGTGCCTATAGTGGTCCTTTAATTAAGTATACATTTAGCTTTTGCTAGTTTTTTAAGTGTGTCCCAAGTCATCTGTGTTATTGTTGCCATTATTGTCAGTGTTACTCGCTTCATTGACTGGTTGAGTTGCCCCTGCCTAGAATCATACGAGTTGTAAGCACAATGACCCTAAAATTTACAGTCTGCATGTTGCATCCATACATTAAGCTAACCATGCCTTATTCCAGGTTCCGTAAATGTTACAGCCATAACATTCAGCCTGGGAATGTTATTTTGATTCCAAATTTTTGCAGGTCCTCCACTACTCTACACGGTTCTTCTCCTCAAGCCAGGGACTTGGAGCCATGCCATTGGAAAGATTTTGCGAAAGGCTGTACAGCAGAAGTTCCACCTGGTTGGAATGAAGCCAGTGACACTTGCTCCTCAGGATTGTGAATTAATCCTCTCTGAGAATGTGAAGCAGGTGAGGGTATCCTGGTGGAACTTACAGAGCCCCTTATGAAGTCAGAAAACCACATCCGTCCCATTGCCTTTTTAAAAAAAATCAATTTAAAGAATGCTGGAAATTTTACAAAAAGAGAAAACTAAAAATATTTGTATCTTCTTACATTGTGTAGACCTTCACTGGGTACTTTGGTGGGTTATATAAAATATGCCAATATTTGCAGTTAAAAAAACTACAATAAGAAAAGTTTTATGTTTTTAAAGCAATGCTTTTTTATCTTGGCGGACTATTTCTTAACGTGAAACTTTGCACATCTCCTTCAGTTCTCTTGGATAAGCTGTTTTTCATGACGTAATAGAAGGTATCCAGCACTAATGTAATGTTTTTAAAAATTACTCCGTTTTAAATCTAATTCTAATAGTGGTTATGAGGGAACCGAAGGAGATCTGCACATTTTCCATCACTACTTCACGATTTAGCATCATGCTTTGTGTATGATGTCATCCAATTAGTGGCTGCCATTCTCTAATATACTGTGGTTCAGGGTATCTGTCAGTCATTGAACTGTGCATTTTTATTGGCCGTTTCATGCTGAGCTGTGATTGGTGTAGTTCATTTTACATATTGAGCTACCCTGTGATTGGTTCACCTTAGTTACACTAATCACCTATCTGAGTGGGAGCTTCAAGCCTATCTTGCTGAGAATCTGATGTTAAAACAGGAAATGCTGGGGGTGGATCCAAGCTCTGTACAAGTTACCTAATGAACACTGAAAATACAGCTGCAGGGCGCAGATTTACATTAATGCACAGATGACATCTGTTTTGTCATGTAAACAGTTTAACAGACAAAAATTACCATAATTTCCTTTTAAACACTGCTTTAGCCTTTAATTGCTATTTACCACATTGATCGTGTTAATTATTAATTAGGACATGGCACCAAGTGAAAATATGCATTGCTCCTTCCCCAGGATAAATCTCTATTTCACGCTCACTGTGATTACCTCTGCGTTGGACCCTGCCTCGTGCTTTGTCTACAGAGACACAATGCCGTACTGAGACTCCTGGATTTACTGGGGCCCGAGGATCCTGAGCTGTGCAGAGCTGAAGACCAGTTTCTATGGAGAGTACAGTATGGCACCAGTCCTGTACGGAATGGGATGTACGGTTAGTGAGCAAGAAATCTAATTCTTAGTAAAACATCTAAATTATACCTTCAAGGTTAAGTCAGTGGTAGTGTGTATATGAAAAGGTAGTAGGTTCCTATGATTCTGGGTTATGGGTAGAGTTATATGAATAGGTTACCATTATCGAAATGGCTTGGAAAGGCTAAAGGGACACTGTAGGCACCCAGACCACTTCAGCTAATTGAAGTAATCTGGTTGCTGTGACCCTTTTGCACCTAGTGCTGCAATGTTAAACAGACAGCCACTGGGGGCACTTCCGGATTCGTAACAGACTTTTGGTTTGTCAGATTTTTTTTCATCCAGAATCATATATTCCCCATAGGAAAGCATTGAATAACGCTTTCCTAAGGGTAGGTTTAATGCGCGCGCGGCCATTGAAGGAGTGTGGGTGGAGCCTGACCCAGCGCCGAGGGACATCGGCGCTGAATCAAGGTAAGTAGCTGAAGGGGTTTGAAATGGGATGGGGGCGGGAGGGAGGGGGTCACTGTAGAATTCTCAAGTGTCAAGGAAACGGGTTTGTTTTCCTGGCACTGGAGAGTCCCTTTAATATGGAGGTCCTATTTTTGAGTTTTGGATTTTTAGTTTAGTATGATGAGTTTTACATAATGTAAGGAAGTTATATGAAGTAGTTATATCAGAGAGTAGGGGGAGTTGTAGGGAGTGGTTATAGCAGAAATCAGGGGTAGTTATAGGGAGTGGTTATTGTATAAAGTAGGGGGAGTTATAGGGAGTGGTTATCGTATAAAGTAGGGGGAGTTATAGGGAGTGGTTATAGCAGAGAGTAGGAGGAGTTATGGGCAGTGATTATATTAGAAAGTAGGGGGGTTATAGTAGAATGTAGGAGGCGTTATAGGTAGTGGTGATTGCAGGGGAACGTTTTAGGGAGTGGTTATAGTAGAAAGCATTGGGAGTTATAGGGAGTGGTTATAGCAGAGAGTAGGGGGAGTTATGGGTAGTGATTATATTAGAAAGTAGGGGGAGTTATAGAGAGTGGTTATAGTAGAAAGTAGGAGGCGTTATAGTAGATAGCAGCGGGACGTTTTAGGGAGTGGTTATAGTAGAAAGCAGTGGGAGCTATAGGAAGTGGTTATAGTAGAAAGCAGATTATTTTGTTGAAGTTTGATTGGAACCATTATCGTTATGGGTGTTTTTGTACTTATGTATATAGCTATGTATCATCTGTAAAAATAAACTGATCCATTACTTCTATCCAAATAACCCAGGGAGCTTTTTAAAGCTCTGTGAGATGTGAGCTCGTTACTTACAAACGTATGATAGCTGTTATGGCCATCCTCAGTATTTGTCCTTTTGTTTTTCTGTGTTGAAATCACTCGGCAATCCATCATTTATCTCTTAATATATGTCACTTGTCTTTTCTATAGTGCGCACCTCATACTGCGAACGCGCACAGCTATCTTAAGAGCAAACCTCTACACACAAGCATGGAAGCCTCACACTTTCTTTGTCATCCAACAAATAATAAATGGTTATTAAGCTAATAGAAGGTCTCTCCCCAGGCATTGCATGTGTCACAAGCAGCTATGTTAAAAAAAGGTTCTTTAAAGGTGACATTATTTCTGTAATCTAATGCATTTTCACTTCATTTAGAGACATCCTGTTATTCTTTGCAGCCTGGTTAGCAGAGCATCTAAGGAACTCTTTATGCTCCGTCACGTAATTCCATACAATGGCACAGGGTTTTTTCTGCACGGATTTTTCCATGCTCAGTAAATGTAGGCCAAAGAGCATTTATTATATCAGCTTTACCAAAGGAGATGCACAGATCAGCTATAGGTGGAGATGAGGGCAGTATTACAGAGAGTAAACCAGGGGAGGCGGAGGGAGAGTGTCTATAGGAATAGATGTATCCGCAATCACAGGGATTAATTGTGTTATTTTTAGCCACAGTTTCAGGGCATTTTTATGTTTTTTGTTCTTCTGGCTAGGAAATCTTTTCCTGACGATTCACATCGAATTTATTACATTTAAACTTTCAGAAATAAATGTGTGTAGCAGATATAGAGCTTTATGCCCTATCCTTTTAGTTCAATTTTATTTGTTTTTTTTACTTGCTACAAATAATCTGTAGATTTAAATCAGAGATATATTTTTTTGACTTGGTGCAGAGGATATTCTGTTCAGCTGCCTTGCATTCCATTACATCGTTCGTTTTTCACTGACGTTCTAGGAATGTGGGCTACTTTCTTCATTTGTCATTTTATTATACAATTTAGGACTGAATGACAGATCAGATCTGGGAGTGTTGGCCAGGAGTTAGCAACTAAGGCTGTTCCTCTCTTTCATGACTCTACTCACTATCCTTAGCCAGCGATACACCAATTTCAGAGGCCCAGGTTATATTTAATGCAGGATATCTGAATTTACTCCAGTGAGTTAGAGTCCCATTTGCGTTATTTTCCCAGTTATCTTTGAGAGGGACTAAAGGCCAATATTAGCCACATAGCAGAGATTCCTGTCCTCGGTCAACGGCTGTTGTGAATGGATTTTCCAAAATCCTTGGAGTCTTAATGACAAATGGATGGGCAGAACTGGACACCCCTGATGTAAAACGTCTCTGACAGTTGACTGCAATTAGCAGTTTCACTTTTTATTAAGTCTATTGATTTCAGTTTTCTGGTAAAGTTTCGCAATTAATCTGCATTGAGCAACACTTTCAGGAAAACCGTGGAAGCCGAGGCTAATTATTATCCCAGCTTATTCATGGCCGCATTTTATCTGGCCAATGTGTCCTGCACGTTTATCCACAATATTTCTGTATCGAACATACGCGTTGCCCAAAAAGTCTTTCCTAGTATTTCTTTTCTTTCTTTGTAAGAGATATTTCACCTAGTTAAAGGACCAATATAGGCACCCAGACCACTTCATCTCAGTGAAGTGGTCTGGGTGCAGCGGCCCTGTCCGCTTTGTCCTGCTATGTACAATATTGCTGTTTTGTAGATAAGGCAGTGTCTAACTCCTTCCGCACCTGCAACCAAGTCAGACTCAGTTCTATGATGGTTGACATCCTCATGTATTGCATGTGAACGTAGAATGTCAGAGAGACAGATATTTTCAGAGATTTTAGACTGATGAAAGAGTAAATGTTTTTTGGAAGTTTATACCACAATTATTGATTAACGGCTATTTTTATGTAGGCTAAATATGCTCCCTTACATTTTTTTGTATCTCTCTCTTCATCTTCAGGTTCCATCTCCTATGATACCGCCATCCGAGACCTGAAACATTTCTTCCCCGAAGGTCTTCCATGTGATCAGTCAGTCGTGTTGGAGACTGAACAGGTAGGATTTGCCCTTCACTCTGGCCGTTTTGTCTACCCATATTATCCATGTTATACTTTGAAATATCTCCTATCAGAACTTCATTTTCGATTATCCTGTACCAGTTTTAAATGTAAGATAAAGGATACCGCACTCTCACAGTGAAAACCAAGTGCATCAAAGACCGGGTTGGCAATACCCAATTTAGTAGATATTAGTAGAAAGTAACTCGAGACTCTCAAGGTTTCTTCAAAAAGGCAGATTTATTGAGAACTGAATGTGCAACGTTTCAGCCTACACAGAGGCCTTTTGTCTCTTCGTTTCTTAGCTTTAGTTTTAAATGTAGTCATTAAATATAGGCCCCTTTTAAAAAGTAGTTGTAGTGCTCTCCTGATTGCTTCGTTTAATGGCTTATGTGAACTTTAAAGATTTTAAGATTTAAAGATTGTAAGATTTTAGCAAAATCTAAATATTATAAATAAAATCACACATTTATTGTGGTAAATCTACGGACTTAAGGAAATTATTGAATATTATAAATAAGCTCCATACATTTTACAATTTCGTTTTTGCTTTATAATGTGAAATGGCATGTGCGTAACAAGAAAAACAATTGAGCAGAAATATATTTTTATTAAAGTATAACTGTCACTTCCCAGAATTTTTAATATTATGTTTACTTATCCTCCATATTTAGAAAATGTGTTTTTGCAAGGTCTAAAAATGTAAAACTCTATGTTTAAATCCACACATCTCCCCTAGAAATGGGCGCCTTCAACTTGGCTTCCAATCAATCATCATTAGAAATGTTGCACTATTCTGCCATTGAACATAGTAATTTGAAGAGGAGAAACGGAAACAATGTTGCCCTGACTGTGCCAGGACTGAACTAGATTTTGCTCATTTGCTAAATCTTATTAAAATATACATTTTAAAAGAAAACGAAGTATCATATAATTTATAGGTGATTTTCAACCCTGCTGTAACAATAAACATAATTTTGACAACCTTAGTAGATACAATAATACATTTACCCAAATAGGATGTATCTTATATACCAACCATTAGGGACTTGCCAGCGCAGGAAATATTTATATAATTTAGCAATTTAACCTTCAATGAAGTTTTTATGTAGTCCTCAAAGCAAGATGTGGATAAATGGCATAAAAGGCTTATTATTTAAAGAAAATGTAGCACTAGTTTAATAAAAGGAGTGTCTATGCTAAATTGTATACTGCATATTGGCAAAAGTGATGGAAATCAAATTTGAATCGGAATACTGATTCAGATTCTCTATTGAATCTGCAGCTCTGTAGGGAAACAGGCTCAAAGGTAAATTCATTGATGACATGAGAGGTCATTAAGTCACCATTTCTAAATGGACCAGATTGCATCCATTTTAAATTGCCAGCAATCCTAGAAATTCACAAATCAGCCTTATATTTACACCACGCAGAGTCCTGGTTGCAGGACGATGGGAATGTACTTATATAAGTCCTGTAATAAACGCTATGCTTCGTCTAGCATGAATGAGTTAACAACTATTTCCTGAATGTTTTGCAAGTATGGGATACTGTGCAAATCAGCTTCTTAGAGCATCACGTGAAACGTGCACCTAAAATAGACACAATAGAAGAACAAAGCGTTATTTTCGGTTGTCCTCGTTACCTCTCACATCAATTATAAAATAAAGAGTCTGCTAGAAAGGCTGCTTTTTGTGTTGCGTGCTATATTTATTGCATTCGGTGCTGTTCCCTGTGTACCTGTGATTTGCACAGCTGTGTCTATTTCGTGACTACAACAGAACTGTCTATACCCTGCGTAATGCAGAGTGCTTAAGTAATTGATTAAAAGCCTCTTGTATATGTATGTAACACTCTGCCTAAGACGTGATAGTTTAATATATCTCTGCTTCTCTGCAGATTACAAGTTGTCTAGCGTACGGCGACCCAGCTGCCATTTTAACTGAGTGATTCTAAAAAAAAATATATAAATACACAGGAAAGTGCACGGGGTGGATTGAAGGCCTATATTTATACCCAACCTGGCAACGTATGCTTTTAAATGTAATGGAAATCATTTAGCCCCTAGTTAATAGGAATTTATTTTTTAATCCTACCACGTGAGGAAGCGGGGGAGTTCTTTCCTTTCTCTGTATGCTTGCGTTCAGTTCGTGCTGCCAGAAAGCGTTTTGTAAAGCTTGGTAATTCAAAGTACCACCAAGAGCAATGCCAAACTCAAATCTCAAAGTTCCTGTGGCGATCAAGTAATGTGTTACCAAAAATCTAAAAATGAACCTGAACTCATCCGTTTAAAGGGACACCAAAATCGTGGTTTTTTTTTGTAGTTAACTGGGCTCAGATGTATATTCTCATAATTATCAAACACCCACTGGAAATGACTAAAGAAAGACATCTTACTAGACAGAATGTGCCCAGTAGCCCCTTTATCAGGGAAAGGCAACCTTCAGCACTCCAGATGTTGAGGACTACATACCCCATAATGCTTTTACACCCATAATGCGGGCAAAGCATCATGGGAGGTGTAGTCCAAAACACCTGGAGTGTCAAAGGTTGCCTATGCCTGCCCTAGATCAATGTTTGCAATATGTGTAAGGTTAGCTGGGTATCGTAATACAATGCTGGGAATTCTTGACACAATATCACGTCCCACCAGATGAGCCACCTCCTGGCCGAGCACCATTCAGTCACTACGACCTTATTAACGCATGTTTTCACTGTACTCTCAGACTCGGATGAACTGCAATTCCTTCAAATTCTGTATCTCCAAAGTGCCATATAGACATATACCTGAGCAGACGAGTAGCCTGATGGCTGAACATGTTCGTTTGGTTCGGCATTCAGAGTTCCCCTATGGCTCCAAAACAAAAAAGAGATGCTTAATGGGAAAAGGATGGTTGGTGGTTAGGGGACAACCACTAAATGTTGATTTTATCCACCGATCAAGTGAAAAGGGACCATCTGGGGAGTGAGGTGAGGGGGAAGCAGGAGAAAAATAGAAAATCTATATTTAATAAATGTATATCATGTATAAATATAGATATTTGTTTCCTGTTTTTCCCTCTATTGGTTACTTTTCTCCCTTGATCTGTAAATGAAATATGGGGATGTCCATTTATCCATGGATCATATTCAGCTGAACCATTACATGAACAAGCGTAGCATGTGCCAAACAAAATTTCAGTTTCAGGAAAAATGATTTAGTTGAACATAACTTTCCCAGTTCTATCTCTCACCTGCAGTTCCCCTAAATCTTGACATCTAGCTGTGGATATGACTCTTTCCTCTATCAGTCTACCTTACGTCATAATGGGAAATGAACAGTGAACCCCTCCCAAAGAGGGCACCACACCGTTCTAATTTATGTCTATATCTGGAGCTATTGGCAAAATTTTAATATCTTTCATACCATTAAATGAACACTCCTAGCACCATAACTACTACAGCCCACAGTAGAAGTGCTGTCGCACAGTAAGTAGTCAAGCTGTTTTAGTAGAATTTGGCAACTTACCTGAAGGCCGCTGTGTGCCCGCACCACATCCAGTCTCTATAGAATAAAGCTCTGCCTATAAACATGGCCCTGCTTAGCACTGTATAGCTGACCGAATTATCATACAGTAGAAGACCGAATGCAAGGTATGTGGTTTCATGCTCCTGGCAAGACCCAGATAAGTTGTCATACTGAGCTAAAATGGTTTACTACTTACCATGGAGAAAGTATAATGAATACCGCACTCTCCAAGCTTCCAGGTTGCGCAGGACCTCAGAATGGCTAGGTCTTACATCCAAAAGCTAGAAAATAAATATTGATCAAAACACTCAAGGAAAAAAGCCAAAATAGGAACACAACAGCAATGTTTCGACCCAGCAGGGTCTTTGTCAAGTAAAGCTGCTATTTTGGCTTTTATCCTTGAGTACCTAGATCATCATTTATTTTCCACTACTTACCGTGGGACAGCATCAGGCCACCTCGACTTCTATTGTTCCTTTAATCTTCATACCATCCTCCTGTCATACCACCTTCCAACAACCTTTTACAAACTCTTTTAAAGTTAAATAAATACATGATCGGTCCACTTATTAATTAAATTAAATTAAATTAAACAACTGCCTTCCATAATTACATTAACATCTAACTCAAGGCACGTTAGAAGATCATCAATTCTCACCTTGAAATCTGTTCAACTCAAGCATTATCATCAAGATGTAAATAATATATATTAAAAAAAATATCATCCTTCTACTCACTGAGTGACACTACACACATTATACATTTACCTTGTATAGTGGATAAATAATTTTTAGTGGCCTTTTTTAGAAATGGGTGGTCAGGACCCAGATTCCCAACTGTTTTAGAATATGCTGGTACAACAATGGGGGGTTTACTATTAAGTCCACCCCAGCAGAGAATTTTCCCTTTAAGGGGTACCGATATGAAAATGAAAATGTCTACAGCAAAGCTGCAATTTAAACATGTGTGTGTATTAATACATTTGACAATGTTTCCAGCTTGGCTCTTTTAGTCTTACATTTGCATTTCTCTTGTTAATTTGTCACAATTCCTGGTTTAGTAATTGTCTGCCTATTTTTTTATATTTCATTTATTTACGTGAAAGGATTTTTCATCCGTATTTGCAGCTGTGAACTTTAACTTGTAATTAGGAGGATGTTAACAACTAAAACATATATCGTGTGTTTTATATATTCTTAAACCTTTCTCTGTTCTTTTACTGTCACAAAGAAAATTTACAATATAATTTATTTATTTTTACCCTTTTGTCAATCAATTGTTTATTGGGGCAGAAATGTAACAAGCACTGGTAAAATAGGAGTGACATATCCAGACAAAAATAGTTAGTATTAGACATATTCTTCTGTGTTTATTTGTCCGTAGATACCAAGACTGGAGTGTGATGTCTTGTTTGGCAGTCGAGCACAACGCAAAGTGGTGAAGAATCCACTTCATCAGCCAGGAAAATCTCCAACCTGGGGTAATGTCTGCCACCAGTAAAACAAAGATCTTGTTTACCATATCTTCTCTACCTACCCATCCCTGTTCACCTTCAAATACCAAGTCCTTGTGGGAGGTGGCATTCACGCCATACTTTTTTTTTTTTTTTTTAAATCACGCCATACTTTTATTTGAAATGTCAGCAGTAGCTTGTGACCTGATGCCTTAGCCCAGGACTTTGTACCGTCTCCCCTGTGTCCTTCCTTTTCCCTTGTATTCTTGAGAGGAATATGAATGCTGTGTTCCTGTTGACATCCTTTTCATTTTTTTGATCCCTTACATACATCCCTCTATTTGTCTTTTGCCTGTGGGTTCTGTGTCATCCTCGGGTGTTTGGTCTGACATCTTCCTACATGCATGCTGTCTACCCAATGCCACCTTCTTCTACCTGTACTGATCGTTAGCTTGCTATCCGACCTTGGCTTGTTTGACTATCCCATGGCCTGCTCTCTGTGCTTGACACGTGAATGTTGTGTAAAAGTTGGGAGGTTTTTTTTGCCTCTATTATTTTTATATGTACATCTTCCTGGTAGAATTGTCTTGATGTTCATTGGCCTTCCTCGCTGTGAAACTTGATTGATGACTGCCAACAGGCAAGTTAAACTTCTGTTCAACTGAGAAAAATGAGCAGGACTTAAACACTAGTAGCAAATTAACATTTGAGTGCGGCCTTTGCTGGCCTTCGGCAAGGAGAGTCATAAGCTACATTAATAAGTACTTTACCAAAGCAATAACTTTCAAGTGAGACACATTTTGAAACTGTAAAAGACACAAAACCAAATTGACCTACATAAACCTACATATAAGTTGATTTTGAGGAATTTTTATACGGTAAATTGTGACCCATGACAGTGCTGCTCTACCCATACACACTGGTTACAACCATACATAGATTGGTTTATCCATTTAGACAGGGTTAACTGAACAAAGGAGAGCAGACTGTATTGACTGTTTAAGCAATGACCGTGACAAAGGCTCCTGCAGCTTATACTAAGTGTTTGGTAAATGCAAGTCACATACACACTTGCACGTGTTCTGTCTTATGACGCACATATGTGTCACCTTCTATACCAAGGCACCCAGCTGTACAGCAGCCAGGCAGCCCATCACACATGTACTCATATTTTAAAGATGAGACTCATTTTGTTAGTAACCCTTCAAATTCCAGAGGGAGGCTACATTCAATATATAGTAATTATAATAAAATAATGGAATGGAAAAATAATATTGAGCATCTCTGCCGGTTTCCATAAATGCGTATTCCCCGTTACCATTCATTAAATATTTTATGCAATAAATGGGATCTTGTGCACCAGACATATCTATTAAATGTTAATGTCACGTAATGTAGTATCAATTGAAACCTTAGGACCGTACATTAACTATCTAATGACAAGGTCAATAAAATCAGTACCATTGAGTTAATTAATAATAACATCTCTATTTAGAACATACATTACAAATAAAATAAAAGTATTCTTCCTAGTAGAGTTTTTATTTTTTAGTTTATTACTTGTGTCTAAGCCTGCTGTTCAGATTAATTTATTTTATTTTTGGTCATTTTGCTGGCCGACTCCTAACATCCATTAGAAAACTGGCCATATTAATTGTTGACGTCCCACCATAGTACTGCGTTGTTTGGACAATAGGATATAGTTCCAACACTGAACGTAACGCTGTCCTATTTTATGCCATGTGGAAGCACCAACTCTATGCAATATAGCCCACTTGGTTTATTTATCAATTAAACTATGTCTCTAAAAAAGGTAATTGCAGTAGGATATATTGTATAGTTTTAATCTGGTTGGTTCGTAATGCCAGTTCATAAAATATAGCATGTTGATAATATAGATTGTTTTGTAAAATAAATAGTACCGGTAATTGGTTTTCATTCATAGAAACATAGAATGTTCTTGGACGGCAGATAAGAAGCATTCGGCCCATCTAGTCTGTCCAATTTTCTAAATACTTTCATTAGTCCCTGGCCTTATCTTATGGTTAGGATAGCCTTATACTTATTCCACACATTCTGAAACTCCTTCACTCCTTCACTCCTTCACCTTTACCACTTCAGCTGGAAGGCTATTCCATGCATCCAGTACCTGGGAATTCAAGCCTGGGAATAGCATTATAACTGTACAACAAATACCTCTATAAAGATACATGTCCAGGTTTGTAAAAGATTAAAGGATGGTATATTACTATGCAGGAGCTGATTTGCTGATGTAATTGTTTATTATCCCAGCCACCAATACTTCCTTTAGATAGTAAGCTCATGGGCCATCTCTTGAAACACGCTTTGTGTAAGAGTTAAATGTGCAATTATATAAGCCTATGATCTGGGTTTCTAAATCAATTAATATCTATCTTCAGGTTTGTTTGTTTTTATAATTTGAACACACATTGACTTTGTATTTACTCAAATAATTACCTTCTTTATTTGCTTTACTTAGATCAACCCTTTATCAGTGCCCTTAGCCAGACCACGTGCCTTCTCTTCCCTCCATGCACTGTGCGTGGCTGCCCACCACCCTACATCCAGGGACTTGAGCAACTGGCCAGCAGAGACTTTCGTATCACAGCAACGCGTCTTACTGTATTCGACCAATCACAGGCACAGCTGGTCTCAGATTTATACAGCCCACTGGACAGCCTATCAGCAGAGGTACTCAGACTCACTGTCATGTGGATCCCTTTTATTGCACTCACATTAAATGCTACTGAAAAGAAAGGTTTGGAAAAAAATGTCAGGATTATTTTCTAGGGAATTCAAAGAGAGTTTAAAGAGAATTTCAAAATTTGGTCCGGAATAGCCAAATTTGTCAAATTCTTTAATTCTGTCTTCAGTTTAGCTATTTTGGACTTAAATTTGAAATTCACTTTGAATTCCCAGCAATGCTTACGTTAGTGAATAACGCTGATAGAGATGTCTTTTTCCTCTCTTTGGCTAGTGTGTTGCCCTCTGAAGGCTAAGTCCAGGGCCAGCACAACCATAAGGAGGCACAGGCAGGGCCTTAGAGCGCACCGGCCTGGAAGGCAATGTTCGGGCTCTGGGTGACCGGCAGAAGGGGTTCGCACTGTGCTTCCCCTCCTGCCAGTCACTTCATGTAGTGTAAAACAGCAGGTAGGTGCAGCGCCTAAATAGTCCTTATATGGGAGTATATAACAACAAGAAAAAACTGAAGGAACTGATAGTGTAGTATGTAAAAATATAATAAATATGAGAAAAAAATGTGCTCTCACACTTTTAAGGAGCTTCAATACAGCTCCAACTTTTGCACCTGGGCGTAATGATCCCCGCCTAAGGATAAAGTGCAGTGCTGATTCTTCATATATTCGTGGTTGTAGAAGGTATCGTCATAAAAATAGATTTAAAAAAAAACATAATGTAGTGTAGTTTGTTTGGGCTATGGAGCAGGGGTAGGTATGAATATAAAGTGTGCACTCACATGTAATGGAGCCGTGAATATGGCTCCAAATTAGCGTATGAAGTATATAAGTGTAGTTAATATTTCTCCGTATATATATATATATATATATGTGTGTGGAAAAGAAGAAATAAAACCATAATAGTGTATACCGTAAATATGGAGAGAAGAACACAGTAAAAAGATTTAAAAAAACTACTCACATGCTAGAGAGCAAAGTATGGTTTGCTCAATCCAATACACTTAGGTGGTATTATCCCCACCAAGGATGAAGCCCAAAGATCCAGCAGCAGCAAAAGAAGGTTCAATAAAAAAGTTTTAAAACTTTAATGTTAAAAAAACAATAAAAGCAAAAAACAAGGTAAAAAATAGATAAAACAATATATTTGGAACACTTAACGCGTTTCACCTGAATGTAGGCTTTCTCAAAAGTGTATTACAGGATGCGTGGGACCATAGCTGCTTAAATAGGGTGCTAAAATTCATCACAGTCACATGACCAAACTAATTAACATAAACATTTATTAAAATAGTAAAATAATTAATAATATAAAAGGAAATGGTGGTAGGAAGTGTATATAAGTAAAAAGTATGAAAAACAAGCATTTTAGTTGCTCTAAATAAACTTTATCAGGTATAGAAACGTGTGACAAATCCAAGATTTCATGTAGTGTGGTCGCGCGGACCATGGTGAAGGATTATTCGTTTCTTCTACCTGGCCTGACAGGGAGTGCTCACTGAGAGCAGCGACCAGCTTTCTGTCAGAATGGGGAGAGAATACAAAAGATTCTCTACCGTGGTCCGCGCAGCCACATTAAAAGGGAGGTAAGCAAACACAAGATGGCGCGGGGGGGTAAGAGGGGAAATAAGACACACTAAAGGGCTGGGGGAGAGAAAGAGATGGATAAAGGTCATTGGAGGGAAGAGGCAAACAGAGGGGCTGGGGAAGGAGACAAAGACACACACAAAGGGGTTTTAGAGAGGAAGAGACACACAAAGGAATTGGGGAGAGAAAGACACAGAGGAGGTGGCGAGAAGAAAGACACAAAGGGGCTGGGGAGAGAAATAGACACACAAAGGGGCTGGGAAGAGAAAGAGACACACAAAAAGAAGTCACAAGTTCAAAAGGGGGGTTAAGAGACACACAGGTGAAGGTGTATTTTTTAAGGTGGAGGTAGCAAAATACATCTCCGCCTGTGTAGCCACGAATCCTTGCACCGGACCGAGCTGTGTGACTGTGGCGTAACTGTACAACAGTACGCCACTTGTCGATCCTTGGTTTAATGGTAAGGCTTGAGTTGTAAACCTACATCCTGTATATTGTCTTAATGATGGTCTTGCTTTCTTATTACAGTTCAAGGCTCTCACAGAGGGGCCCTGTGTACTAGTGGCTGCCCAACGGGACAATGCAGTATCTTGCTTTAACTCTGTCATGGACAGGTACGTACTAGTTAATGTTAATGCAGTTTATGTCATTGAGATTGAAAATATGTAAACAATGTTAAGTATTTTTGAAGGAACTTCTTTATTTTTTGTTGTTCTTGACCTTCTGTATTTTCTACATGATTGGAAACCTATGAGCATAGCAGCCAGTTCTGGGGCCAGGTTCTCCGGAGCAAGATCTGCACAGCAACACATGGGATGTAACGATGCCTCAGTCAGCTGGTTAAAGTCAGCGAGTATCAACTCTTCTGACTAGAGAGCATCCTTTAAGCACAGAACATACAGTCATATAGAAAGCAGATCAGTGTCGGCCTACTGGATCACCATGGTTAAGTCTCTCAGTCAGAGTTTTAGATTTTTCTCACAGAAGTCCCCAAGAATGGTCAAAGTTAGGCCATAGCTTGGATTTCAAAAGTTTAAACACAGCAAAATTCCCCTGAAAACAATGGCAATAGATGCCATCTTTGTCGCAGTTCAGTGGGAAACCCTCAGGTCTCAGTTTCTCTGTGTCACGGTTCATACCCTGTGACATTGCATGGTGACATCCTAGCGCTGGGGTAGACAACCTTCAGCACTCCAGACGTTGTGGACTAAATTTCCCATGATGCCCTTACAGCTATGATACTGGCAAAGCATCAGGGGACATGTAGTACACAACAACTTGATTGCCAAAGGTTGCCCTAGAGTCCTAGCTCATGGCCACCAATTCTAGATGCAATAGGCAAGTCTGTAACTGGTTATTGTCAGAGCTTGGAAAATAAATATTCTGTCAAGCAGAAATATTATTATCACCTGAGATTTTAGCGCTAACATTTTTTTTTGTAAAGTGGACTCTTTGCTGGAGCTATTGTATCTCTTGCTTCAAAGACCACCCATATCGATAAAAAGCATTACTTCTGATGGAGCCCCCCCAACCCCCCTCCCCCCCAGTCCACTATTCAAAAGCGCCCATTTAAAGGGGGAGGTATAGTAACTCTGAAATTGTCAGTGATTATACACTTCATAAGCTAGATATAAAAATAAACTTCTCTCTAGAATTTACACATCCTATCTGTTAGTCATTAGTCACATGATTATGATGTCATCACTTGCAATTTGCTTTCTAGGAAGTTGTGATATCGCTAAAGTAGTGATGACAGCATCCAGGCACTGTCCTAGAATAGACAGCTCATCCTTATTTAGTCATAGACTAAATCCACTCTCTCTTCAATTACGTTTTAAATAAGAAGAAGCCGGTTAAACGAATAAATTAACCAGTAAATATAGGGGAGAATTTTTTTTACATTTTGCTCAGAAAAAGGAGATGGATTTATGGTGACCTCAGTAGTGACCAAATGGGCTATCTTGTAGCTCTGAACAGAAGATCCAGAAAAGGACCGAGATTGTTAAAGAGACTCACGATTTTGTAAAAATGGTCAGAGGTCTTTTAATATAACCCACAAAAAAATACTATAAGATTTAATGGGATTTCCAAAAGAAGTTTTAATTAGCAAAAGATTGTTTTGTTTTTTTCCTCGAAATCTGTTCAGCAATTCATTTAAACTCCACACTTCTGCGTCTTTTACTGTGTCACCCACAAACACATTCCATATGATCCTATTAAAATGCAATCTTTACATCAAAATCACCAGCCAATCTCTTGATAATATAGTTTAATGCTTGCATCAAACAATTTTGTCCATAAGGTGTCACTACGGGGAGTGTGCTTTAATGAACCATTTAGGGAATCATGATATACCAGATGCATCATGACGTAAAGGGATTGGGATTTGCTTGACCCCAGCCTCTAAGGACCCTGGCCCCTCTTATTCCCAGCAGAAGTTATTGCTTGTCAACAGACTTTCTAACCGGTTTCTGTACCAGTGTTCCTGTAACATTGTAGCACGGTATTCCACTCACTCAATGTTTGTGTCTTTGAGTACCCCAGGGGTTAAACCGAGAATGGCATTGCAGGGTCAGGGAGAGAAAGAGAGAGGATTTGGCGGATTGAAGCAGGGCAGGGACAGTTCAGTTTCCTCTGTTGGGATTATGCTTCATGAAAATCCGTTTATAAAAAGCTTTTGTTTTCCCGGAGATTAGATGGCGTGTCAGGGTTTCCATGACTTAAAAGATGTAACAGAACGGTGCCTCCATATACCAGCTGTGCATATTCGTCCGTCATCAAGGGCACAGGTAGACGGTTAACTCTAATAGTGCCAGGAGATTAGTCTCATTATTACACATTGCAGATTCCATAGAAAATAATTTCAATATAAGCTGATTAGTAGTTAAAAGAAGTCATCTTTAAAATGCGTGTGATCGGGGACGGTGCTAGACTATTTTGTGCCCTATGCAAGAACCTGCTACTGGCAAAATAAAAATTGGCAGCTTAGATTTTTTAAAACAGATTTGTAGAAAAAATTCAAAGCATAAAATGTGAAAGTAGTAAATTTCCTTTAAACTCTAAGAATGAGTATCATAAGATGCCAACAGCACCAATATTAAAGGCAAAATGTCCATTAACCAACCCGTCATGTTACCACAATATATTGCTTAAAGTCAGACAGAGAAACAAACCGAGAGATACAGAAACAAACCGAGAGATACATATAGAGTTCAAAATGTTATGTGCATTACCCACTTTCTATTTTCTCTCCCTTTTTATGTCCATTCCCACCCGTTTCCATGTTCATTCCCTATTCCCCCCCTTTCTATATCCATTACCACATTCCATATCCACCTCCCCTCTCGTGTCCATTCTCCCCACTGGATCCTCTCCACATCTCCATACCTACGGTCCAGTGATTCTCCTCTTCTCTCCTGTGTGGCAGCCGCTGGGAGGAAGTGACATAAGATCATTTCCTCCCAGCGCTGCCAAAGAGGGAGCACTGGAAAATGTAGGGGGTGGGCGTAGAGTTTGTGCAGTGTTTATTTTGTTTTGTTTTTTATATAATGGCACTTTTTTTTTTTTCTTTATTATTCCTACATTTTAATTTTTGGGGATACACAGACACCATTACAAGTTAAAAACTCCTAATAATTTCCAAGTGGCATTACCCATATAATTAATTACAGCAAGGCATGATCTAATAACATGAGCGGATGCGGGGCTCCTTCTCACCTCCCTGCTGGCGGGTGCGTTTTTCTCTGCATGGGGGGAGTGACTCAGTGGGAGGAAGTGATGTTGGCTGGCAGCCTGAATCTTGTTCTCGGATTGGCTAAAGCTCACGGGAGACCGCATTAAGCAGACTGGGCGAGGTGAATGTGGCGGCCAGCTGACAGGAGATGTTACCACTGTAAGATGCAATGTTAAAATTCCTTCCTACACTGTCCTCGCTCGGTCAGCTTCATGCCGTCTTCTGCAAACTTCAGCCAATCTTATCTTTGCTAGCGTTGCGCACAACAGTGCATTTTGGGAGCAGTGTGGTGCAGTTTATGAGGAAGCCAGCCCAACGGAGAGGCTACGGCCTAGGCGTCTGTTGACCCTAGGTGGCTGCCTAGTTTACCTAACCACAGCGCCGGCCCTGTGTGTGATTATTTCCTGAATCGGAAAGAGAGTTCCTATTTGTAGACCATGGTAATTGAGTTATGACAATCCGTTGGATGATTTCTCCAGGTTGACTATTTTGGTCTCATTCTCTTGTCAATGCTGCCTTTCTGTCCAGTTCAGTGAATGTACCCTGTCGGATACCCCACAGCTTTCAGGAAATCAGAGAGACAAAATGGAAGTTCACTGGCGGATACCGTGCCTCCATTTTACTATTCCTTAGGGAGACAAACACGGTTATTTACTAAATTGAGGATTGTTGGGAATACAAAGTGAGTTTAAATTTAAGATCAAAGTAGCCAAAATGGAGAAATTGGCCCAGTCAGCTGTGCTTCCAGTTCAGTTACTACAATCTTAAATTTAAAGTTCACTTAGAATTTTAGAAAATTCTTACTTTAGTAATTAACTGTGAAAGAGATCCCCCTTCCGTGGAGCGTCAGCACGTACCTTTATATACTTGATTAGGATACTCGTGGAATCCATTGATACAGTATACAAATTGCTGTTCATGGCATTCCAAACTAGCTGTAAAGCTTAGAAAGCCTATAACAACACATTTTTGGGGTAAAGTAATTGGGGTGTAGCTACAAAATCTGAACAAATGTTGTCTTCTGCCACCATACCCCATTTTTGTCAGACCTTGGCCTAACCCAGGCATAGGCAACCTTCGGCACTGCAGATGTTTTGGACTACACCTCCCACAATGCTTTGTCAGCATTATGGGTGTAAGAGCATTATGGGGAATGTAGTGCACAACATCAAGTGCCGAAGGTTGCCTACCCCTACCCTACCCTAATGACTACTGTTATGTCACATCTCGCAATTTTTAATGTTTTATGTATCCCCCTATAATTAATAAATATGTTTGTGAGACTTGCTTTCAGTTTTGGTTCCCTGTCAATCATTGTTAAATTTCAACCTTATACCCTATATAAGTTCTGCCATGTCTAGTCATTGAACATAATATTTGGGGTAAACAAATAGATGCAATGGGGGAGATTTATCAAAGTGTCTTATTTTCAGCAATTTTGTTTGAGAATATTCGGGTCGATTTACTAAATCTGTTGGATTTTTTCCATCTGTTTCTTTTTTGCGCTCGAAAGATCATTCGCAAATTTTTGCTGATGTATATGAATATTTTTATGCTACTAAATTTTTGTCGGTTTTGTGAATTGGAATGCTCTGAGAAAACTAGCGGAATTTACTATAAAGAAATCTTTTTAGATCACTTTAACAAATACAATCAATGATGGAAGGTAGCTGCCAATTTTCAGAACACTATGATAAATCTCTCCCCCCAATGTTTCTCTTTCTCCTCCTCCAATTCAATCTGTGCCCTGACTTTGCCAGGACCGAACTGGATTGTCACATCGATTGCTAAACCTTTAATATACATATAAAGGAAATGTCACATGTAAAACGTTAATGCCAGTTACAGGTGATTTTTATTCAGTGTTACCAGGGCCGGATTAACATAGGGGCTGATGGAGCTGCAGCTCCAGGCCCAGGCCCAGGCCCATAGAATAGGCCCATTGCAGTACACACTACTCTTAGGGTTTCCACCTGGCTGGTATTTTATTGGCACAGCCAGTATTTGAGGCTGCCTGGCCGGTGCTGATATTGCAGTCGTACTGGCAATACAAATGCTGGTATTTTTTTCAGTATAAACAGAGATTACGATGCAGTACCAGCACTGGCCAGTAGGGGTCGCTGTGTGTGGAGAGAGGCAGGGATAGGAAGTTCCAGCATATCCCTACCTGCTTATCTCTACTCAATGATCCACAGGGGAGCAGCTACAGAGAGCCCGGACAGCAACTCCCACCCTGCAGAGACAGCCTACAGCTCAGGGAAGTGAGGGATGGGTTGAAAGGGTGCAAGGAGACATACACTGAGACACTAAGGGACATTGAGAGACATTATGACAGACACTCTGGGACACTGGGAGACATGGGGACACTGAGACACTAAGGGACATTGGGAGACATTATGACACAGACATTCGGGGACACGGACACATGGGGACACAGTGTTCCCATGTCTCCTAGTGCCCCTATGTCTCCCAGTGCCCCAAGTGTCTCAATGTCCCCATGTCTCCCAGCCACTGTCCCTAGTGTCTGTGTCCCTGGTGTCTCAGTGTACCAATTGTCTCCCAGTTACCCCATGTCTCAATGCCCCCATGTCACCCAGCCAGTGACCCTAGTGTCTGTGTCCTCATGTCTTCAAGTGTCCCCTATTTTTCCAGTGTCCCCATGTGTCCCAGCCAGTGTCCCCTAGTCTCCCAGTGTCCCTGGTGTCTCTGTGTCCCCAGGTTCCCCTGTGTTCCTAGTGACATGGGGACCCTGGAAAACATGGAGACATAGACACATGGGAATACTGGGGGACACAGGGAGACATGGGCACTGAAACCTGGGGTAATCGACACATGGGGACACAGAGTCATGGGGGCACTGGGAGACATGGGGACACTGGGAGACATGGGGACACTGAGACACTGGGAGGTATAACACAGGGAGACATGGGGATTCTGAGACAGTGGGAGACTTGAGACACTGGGAGCTATCCATCTATACTGCAGAATCAAACCAAGTAGTTTTTTGGTGATTTTACAGCATTTTCTTTTATGTCACTCCTTGTGATTTACAACATGTGATGTCACCCATACATAATTAATTATGCAAATTAGTAAGCCAGTATGTTTTTCCAGGAAAGCTGGCAAGCCTACTTTTCACATTCTCTTGCTTAAGTATGGAAACTTAAGTGGGATGGGAACAAAACTTGTGTGGACTGGCTGACAATGAAATTAGTTAAGGTAATGCTGACTTTGGTCTCTCTAACACTGTGGCATGTTCCGTTTCTTCTACACTCACTACATACAGCTTTTCTCTGTCCCAGACCATATACCAGGAGCTTCTGCCTGCTACTAAGAAGGTAAGGAGACAAGTGGACCAGCGAGTGCTAGGGGACAGTCCTTAGAAAGCAATGAGCGTGCGAGCGTGCGCATCATTAGATGCATTTATGCCAAGCTCTGTGTGCTGTCTGCATAGAATGCCCTTAGTTGGCTAGCTTGCATGGTAGGCAGGCAGCCTGACATGCATTCATACCAGGCTGGCCTTCCAATTCTTTGAGCAGACATGTCCTCCTTTTGGGCATGTTCGCCCCTTTTGGCAGGTTACGTGATTTGTGTCAGTGGCACACCCTTTTACCGTGCCCATTGACTTCTTGCTTGACTGGACACTGCTGTTAGGGGTTATGGATTTACTTGAAAGATGAAAACATAAATTAGAGAGAGATTAGCCTAGGGTATGTGTTTTATTATAGCTGCTGCTTTCTTTCTCTCCAGCACCATCTCCATCAGATACATGATGCTTGGGAGTGTTTTACTGTTTTTGGTCGATATGATTCTGTAATTAGGCCCATCATAATTGTCAGCACCAGGCCCACTGGGCTGTTAATCTGGCCCTGAGTGTTACTGTATATTTCTTAGGGAAGTGACCATTCATCTTTAAAACTCTCTATGGGTCATCCATCCTCTGGGACTCCTCTGTATTTCAATCTTTTAATAATGCTCTGTAATAAATGTCAAACATACTTCCAGACAAACATACATATACAGACATACACAGAATGACATACACAAATATGACAGATATACACAGAGAGACATTCATTCATACACAGAAAGGCATGCAGACATTTATATATATAGAAAGTCAGACAAATACATATACAGAAGCCAGATAGACAGACATATGTACATACAAAGAAAGACAGACCAATAAAAAAAGACAGACAGACATGCATATATACAGAGAAACAAATGTGAATACAAAAAGACAGACAAACATACATGTGCACAGAAAGACAGATCGACATGTATAGACAGAAAAACATTCAGTCAGAAAGACAGACAAACAAAGACGTATATATGCAGAAAGACAGACATACAAAACATACATAATCAGAAAGACAACATACACAGAACGACAAACAGACATACATACACAGAACGACAGGCATACATACACAGAACGACAGACATACATATACAGAACGACAGACAAACATACACAGAAAGACAGACAGACATACACAGAACGACAGACAAACATACACAGAAAGACAGACAGACATACACAGAAAGACAGACAGACATACACAGAATGACATACACAAATATGACAGATATACACAGAGAGACATTCATTCATACACAGAAAGGCATGCAGACATTTATATATATAGAAAGTCAGACAAATACATATACAGAAGCCAGATAGACAGACATATGTACATACAAAGAAAGACAGACCAATAAAAAAAGACAGACAGACATGCATATATACAGAGAAACAAATGTGAATACAAAAAGACAGACAAACATACATGTGCACAGAAAGACAGATCGACATGTATAGACAGAAAAACATTCAGTCAGAAAGACAGACAAACAAAGACGTATATATGCAGAAAGACAGACATACAAAACATACATAATCAGAAAGACAACATACACAGAACGACAAACAGACATACATACACAGAACGACAGGCATACATACACAGAACGACAGACATACATATACAGAACGACAGACAAACATACACAGAAAGACAGACAGACATACACAGAACGACAGACAAACATACACAGAAAGACAGACAGACATACACAGAAAGACAGACAGACATACACAGAACGACAGACATACATATACAGAACGACAGACAAACATACACAGAAAGACAGACAGACATACACAGAACGACAGACATACATACACAGAACGACAGACAAACATACATGTGCACAGAAAGACAGATCGACATATATAGACAGAAAAACATTCAGGCAGAAAGACAGATAAACAAAGATGTATATATGCAGAAAGACAGACATACAAAACATACATAATCAGAAAGACAACATACACACATACACAGAACGACAAACAGACATACATACACAGAACGACAGGCATACATACACAGAACGACAGACATACATATACAGAACGACAGACAAACATACACAGAAAGACAGACAGACATACATGTACAGGAAGACAGACATGCACTTTCCCTGCTGAATGCCAGCAGGGAGCAGCCTGTATGACAGGAGGCTGTGTCAGTCCCAGCAGGGAGCTGTGTTGATTTCTTCCTCTCTGTCACAGGGAGGGGGTAAGATTGGGGAGCTCATGAGAAGTCGCCCTCCCTAGCTCTTATCTCTGATGTTACAGAACTGGCAGGCTGAAAACTATGAGTTATAGCCAGCTGCACAGGAAAAGTAGGCCAGGCACAGTTTAAAAACAGCGTTTGAAAAAAAGGAAAAGCTAAGGGATTTCTTTCATTTACTGCACAAATGTGGGTACCTTGAATTAAATCACCATATTCAGCTGGTCACATTAATTGTATCAAGGAGGCATAGAAAAGGGTTTATTTTTAATCGCCGTATAAAATGACTCATGGAAAGAAGAAAAACAGGACAAACGCTGACATTCATTTTAAATTGGATTATCACCTAAACAGTGAATTGGAGGGAATTAAAAACCAAATTGCAAAATGTAGGCTTTAATAGCCACGTTGTGACTGAAGTTAAGTTAGTTATTACCTCATTTTCATTCGAGCCTAACTATTATATGCAACACATCTTACCCCTTGTGTCATTTTACCACACTCCCCTTAGAATGTAAGCTTGCTTGAGCAGGGCCCTCAACACTACTTGTCTTGTTGCAAATACCTGTTTATTAGTCCACCTGTTGTACAGTGCTGCAAAGTTTGTTGGCGCCTTAATCATCATAATACTGATTTTACTTCAGTTCACGGCAATTCACTGTTCAGTAAATAAACCTCCTAACCAGGAATTGAGAAAAACTGGCATTGTGCCACCCACTCAACCAGGCAAATAATGGGTTAAAATCCTTTTACACTTACCTGATCCAGCACTGTGTTTGGCTCCTCCTCCACCGATGTCAGCCAATAGGGGAACCTAATGAGTCAAACTCTGTGAAACTGGCGGAAGTACCTTTAGTGGCTGTCTGGTAGGCAGCCACTAGAGGCAGTCTTAGCCCTGCAATATAAACATTGTCATTTCTTTGAAACGGCAATGTTTGCAGCTGCAGGGCTAAAATGACAGGGGCAGTGCACTCAGAAGACTTCAATGAAATAAAGTCGTCTGGGGGCCTATAGTGTCCCTTTAAGACTGCCAGAGAATTGTAGTTCTATAGCAGGCCGCTGTGTATTTCTGAAACTGTTATATAAAGTAATTAGTGAATTTTTTTATTATGAATTGTCAGATCTTCCAGCAAGATCGAATCATTAACCAATTAAATACCTCCTCTCTACCCTTCATAGTGTTAACTGGCAGAATGCAACCAATCAGAGCTTCACGCCCGGCGTGATGTGTTCGCAGACCGAATCTCAGGTACGTAACACATGTTCACACTGCCCGTAGTGATGACATAAACATGCCTTACACAAACCAGACACTCATAGAGTGGTGTACAATTACATTAATAGCACTGATTTCATTCTCTGCAAATAAATGCCATTCTAAGAAGTACCTCTGGGAAATGAGTTACCAGGGGAATGTTCTGTGGATTCTATTTAGGATATGTTTATCTGCCACTCTCTCAGTCTGCTTCTTTCCCTCTTCTATGGATTTATTCACTAAACCCTCACTTATAGCAAATTATAATCCAAATAGCTCAATTTTAGGAAAAATAGCTGATCTGGAAGTAACAAAGCTATAGCCCCAGCTTGGCTATTATTATACCTATTTCGATTTCAGTTTGTGACAATTCAAAGTTTAGAGAATAAACTTGTATATTTATATTTTTATTATTCTGTCTTTCATTTATCCCTTTTTTGGTTACTTTATTTTGTATTACTTTAGTGTTTGTTTTTTTTATAATTCTTTCATGCTATCTTGTTAGCTGTTAATGTGTCCTTCATTATTACTTTATTCTTATATTCCTCCATTCTTGTTCTTACAGCCTTTCTCTCCCTTCCTTGAGTTCCGTCTTACTATTTATACTTCTCTCTTTTTATCTCTCCCTTCTCTATTCTTTATTTCCTTATTTTCTTTTGGTCTCTCTCTCTCTCATTTTTCTTACTCCTTTACCTCTCTTTTGTCTCCATCCTTACTCCTTTATGTTAATTCTTGCTTTTGATATTTTTATCTCATTATTTTTCGTTCTAGTTTTTCTCTTCAGCTTTCATTCAGTCTTTTTGTTTCTATATACATTTTTTAAAATTATTATCTTTAATGTTTTATCTCGTTCCTGCCCCGTTCTCTTTATCCAGGCCAACAAGATGATCAGCTGTTTCTTTGATTCGCTGACTCCTGAGAGCATTCACCAAATTGTGCCCGAGGCTTTATAAGATGGGAAGTTGCAATCCCCTCTGTCATCATTGATCTTCTAACTATAGATTCAGTCACCCTATCGTACCATAGGCGGAGAAAGGAATCTAGAACTTTGCACTTTTCTTAGTGAATCTGAAGACCATGCGGAGGAAAACATTATCGACCTGGATTATTACACCGGCGGGTTGATACAACTGATGAATTGATACAAATGAAATGTATCCATTCTTACCAGCTCACTTTTATTGCACTTTATTATCAAACATTTGCTGCTATAAATTATTGATCTGGGCAACGTATAGGAACTGTTATTTTCCCCTGAGATATATGCTTTGGTTACATTATAAGATCTTCTATTAGATCAATTGTGATTTCAAGATGATCGGAATGGTCAACTCTCCATTGCGTTGTCCTGTCCCACTGAGTTTTGTTGGTGGCAATCTTGAAAAAGATTGAAGTTTCAATTTAGTTTCAATTTTTTATTGTCATGGTTCGTTGAAGCATATCAAATAAAATAAGTGCAAAAAGTATGTTACAAATAACATGTTTGAGTTATGGATTTCACATCTTACATGATATTTTACGTTGGAAAACATGTAAAGAAAAGAAAAATGTAAATAAACAAACAAAACATTACAAAGTAAGTATGCCCTCTCATAATTATGTTATATCTCAATATCATGGGCAACAAGCTTGAGGTGTCCTTTTTTGGGATATTTATACTACAGAGTTATAGGGGGCCGACCCGCCACAATTCTGGTTAAGTACAGCGCCTGTAAATTCAAATATTGATTTGATTTTGGATTGTGTTACTCTGTCTAGAGAATTAAAATAGAGTTGCCAAGTGAGGACGATTTTTTTCGTGAGGGTACTTTTATTTAACCGGGTTTCTAACTAATCCTTATCACATTGAAGAGAAGGAACCTCCCTTCTAGGTCTCGGATTTGTTTGTGGATAGTTGGAAAGATAAATTTTATAAGTAATATTGCTACTACTCGAGTTTGATGCATGTGTTTATCCATCTCGCCGTAAAGGTGAAGGTGGAGGTTTTCTTTCAATGGGTTTCCTGAAGGTATACCACTTGGGGCTTGTGCTTACGAAGTTGGGAAAGTACAAGCTTGCATTTATTTGGTTAATTTTGTTAAGCCCATTGTATGGGACTGGCTTTAATGTTGATGTTAGATTGTGAACCATTAATCTGAGTCAATATAGTAAATTGTCAGGTGAAATTTAAAAATATGTGCCCTATGGGAGGGCAAAAGAGAATGTTAAGCTAGGTGACCACCGTGCCTAGTAATGAACCGAACCTTAATAGAGAGCATAAGAACAATTAACATTAATAAAAAAATATATTGATAACTGTGGCTGGGAACCCGGTAGGAGGGGCATCTTTGAATGGTCGATCTTGCCCATGTTCCAATTCAGGATCCAAACATCGGGCAACTCAGATAAAGTCAAGAGTATTAATCAGTTCCTGTGCTGCCACTGGACTGGCTATAAGTAAATGTGAGTTTCACTGGGAATTGGAGTTGAAACATAATCTTCTTCTCCACTAAGGAATTGCTTATTGGAGAGAAGTTGCACCCTTTGGCTGCCACTTTTGTTGTTTACAGATGGACTATGAGAATTTTATGCTCTTGATAGAGAATTTTATTTGCCTTTCTACAAGCCTGGAGTATTATTTCCATGTCACAGAAGTTCAGATTGCGGATGATTACTGGTCTGGGTCTGGATCTTGCTGGAGTCGAGGTTCATTCAGGACCCAAGTGATGAGCTCTCTCAATTAGTAGCGGCTTGTTGGAATCATAGGATAGATAAAGTGCCTCCGGTATCCAACTTTGAAGTAATTGGAGTAGAGATTCATGGAGCCCTATGAAGTGGAGATTATTTCTTCTGCTCCTATTCTCAAAGTCCTATGCCTTCAGTTGAAGTTGTGTGATGAGATCAGATTGTTGTTAAAGTTGTGTTTGTAGTTTTGTTGTGAAGTGGAGTCTGGAAGAGCTGGAGGTCACTTTGCTGACAAGATTTCTAATGGTATGTTGCATTGATATTTGGGAGATCTGATGTTAATAAAGTGTAAGATGTGGCTGGACCTTGTGGTTTTGAAGAGGTTTCCTCTGTGTATATATCTGGTATTTTCAAAAAGGATTTAGAATATATAGAGTGGGTGGCACATCATACTTTCAACTGGCCAAGTGACGTGGCGTTGATCCAGAGTGAGTTCTGAGTGACGTGGCCAGTGAGAGTGCGAGGTTGCACCCAGGCTGTATGCCCACAAAGACAAGCAATTACATAGCAGAATGCCATGCCACCATCTTGCAATATTGAGTTCCAACCAGGCATGCATAGACCCATTGAGGCAACCAATGCTGGATGAGCACCGTGTCACTTCCGGTGTAACCCATGCGTTCCAGGTTGGGGACATGAAATTGATATTTACACTCCACCAGGAAGTGATCTACAATCAATACTTTCCTATATAACTTGGACTTGTGAGGACCATACCACACTTCTGATGAAGCCTTGAAGAGCGTCGTGTGATCCCCTATAGTTTATTTGGACTATTCCCTTGCTTTTTATTGTTTTCATTATATGTTTTTAGTATACAGTATATTAATGTAATAAAAGTTAACTTTTAATTTACTTTCCTTTTTACTTACCCATTCCTTGTCATAGTCTTGAGCAGGTCAGGTAAGAGACTTATGCCAGGGTTAATGTTTGATAGTTTATTGTAGACTTTAGTCATAGTTACACACGGAGGCGGCTCTAGACTTTTTGAGGCCTTAGGCGAAAATCAAATATGAGGCCTCCCACGCGCAATAAAAAAAATAAGCAGGCAATATTAAAATGAACTGTATAAATTGCATATTTTAAGGCAAACATTAATAAACCTCACAATCTCAGTATTCACAAATTTATTTTTGTTATTAAATTATTCTACAAAATATCAATACACAAACATTTGTATGTATAGATAAAAGGTTTGTGCCTGACTACTCAGTTATTCTTGTTGGTGTCTCCTAAAACTGAAATAAAGTTGTCAATAGTGTATTAAAAGAACAATATAGCATTCCTGACCCTATCGTGTTAAACTATTTAGCCCCCAACCCCTCAATGTAGCAAAAACGTACCTTATTTCTAGAGCTGCACAAGTCCGGCAGCGCTGGATCCGCCCAATTGGCTAACATAATCTAAACTGATGATCTCAGTTAATCACAATGCTTTCCCATAGGAAAGCATCAGATTGGCTGAGATCTTCAATTTTGATGTCAGCCAAGGAGTCAAGTCAGGGGTGGCTGCCATGGTTAATTTTTTTAGTCATAAAAAACAAAACCGTTCTTACCTGAGAGAGATGAAATGAGAGGGACCTCACAATTTGGTGTCCAATGTCCATGCAGCCCTGAGGAGCTTGAAAAGGAGACTGAGAGACTGCTCACTTGTACACAGTCTCAAAACAGCTGCCTTCGCCCTTTACAGGCTTCTTCCTGCAAAATAATAAAAAATTATTTTTGAAAAAAGAGGCACGACTAAAGCAGTTTAAAAAAAAAAATGTTCTCTAAAAACAAATAAAAATTAAATAAATATATATAAAATTAAATACATAAATAAATATATATATATATATATTTTATATATATTTTCTTAATTTTTTCTTAACTCCAGTTAATACTTTGGTTTAACTTTCTGATTGGGGCACCAATGATAGGCAAAAGAACATCATCTGAGAGCTCAGCCTAGAAGTAGTTCCCCATTCACCAAATCAGAGTTAGAAAAATATGAATGGCATGTTTCCCACTCTGTTTTGTGATTGGCTGAGCCAGCCAGCGGCTTCCTGATTCAACCATTAAACTACATTGGAAGCAGTGAGAAAAAAAGGTTTCTTACCTGAAAGAGATGAAATGAGAGGGACCTCGTGATTTGGTGTCCGGTGTCCATGCAGCCCTGAGCAGCTTGAAAAGGAGACTGAGAGACGGCACAGTCTCAAGACAGCTGCCTTCGCCTTTTACAGGCTTCTTCCTGCAAAATAATATAATTTTTTTTTTTTTTTTATACGATAATACTATAGTAATACAATACTGTAATTATAACATATATTACATATTATCATAATATTAATATTAACAATTAATATATTATTAATTATTATAATATAATTATAATATATTATATAATTATATTATTATTAATATTTAATATTGTTATGTAATATTGTATATGATATACCACCATTATTCTGTGAAAAGATGAGGGGGTACAGCCCTCCTTTTTTTCTTCTCTCTTCTGCTCTGCTCTCCTTCCCTTTTCTTTATTTTCATTCGCTCTCCTTCCCCTTTTCTTTATTTTTATCTGCCCTCCTTCCCCTTTATTTTCATCTGCTCTCCTTGCCCTTTTCTTCATTTTCATCTGCCCTCCTTCCCCTTTTCTTTATTTGTATCTGCCCTCCTTCCCCTTTATTATCTGCCCTCCTTCCCCTTTATTTTTTATCTGCTCTCCTTCCCCTTTATTATCTGCCGTCCTTCCCCTTTATTTTTTATCTGCTCTCCTTCCCCTTTATTTTTTTATCTGCTCTCCATCCCCTTTATTTTATTTTCATCCGCTCTCCTTCCCCTTTATTTTTTATCTGCTCTCCTTCCCCTTTATTATCTGCCCTCCTTCCCCTTTATTTTTTATCTGCCCTCCTTCCCCTTTATTTTTTATCTGCTCTCAATCCCCTTTACTTTATTTTCATCTGCTCTCCTTCCCCAATCCCCTTTACTTTATTTTCATGTGCTGTCCTTACCTTTTTCTCTCTTCTCTGCTCTCCTTCCATTTTCTCTCTTCTCCTCTGCTCTCTTTCCTTCACCAGCAGCTATTCTTTCTTTTTCTTTTCTTCTTCTTCTTCTTGGTACCGCAGGCGGGGGAATGCAGGGGGAGGGGTTAAGTCGTCGCGTCGTGACATCATCGCTAATCAGCATTGCGGATTGGCCGATTAGCAGGTTAGTGGCAGGAGGGGGGAGGGGACTCACTCTACCACGGAACCCATGTGAGAGGGTTCCACCTTGTTAGCGCCGGCACCGCGGCAATGTGGGTGCGGCCACTGGCCGGGCATGAAAGGATTTTAATAATCATTTATTTTTTTACCGCAGTGGTTCTCTAATTACACGGTTTAGGTGGCCACAAGGCCCATTTTAGCGCGAGGCCTCAGGCGGCCGCCTAAACCACCTAATTAGAGAGCCGACTCTGGTTACACACAACTGGTATACTTGGCAAGCCAAAGAAGGAGGTAAGTAAAGAAGGGAGAAAAGAAAAAAAGAGAGTCAGGCAAATGGTAGCAGGAAAACATATAAACGGAATTATAGGTAAGGCTGAAGGAGAACCTATAAACGGAATTATAGGTAAGGCTGAAGGAGAAGCTATAAGCGGAATTATAGGTAAGGCTGAAGGAGAACCTGTAAGCGGAATTATAGGTAAGTAGGTAGGAGGAGAAAGAGTAGAAATATAGGTTTAGGCAATATGCCCCAGACAGGTTGTTACCAAGAAATTATTAGATAGTAGCGAACACCTATAGTTGAAAGTATAGGTTATATAGATAGACAAGTGGGTCAGAACAGAACGGAAATGTATCAGAATTGCAAATAATATAGACATTTAGTGAATCAGCACCCTGTTGGAAGGAGCACTGATAAAGCAGGTAAATTACTCTTTGCAACATGAGTTAGTATCGAAGTTCAGGTTGGTATCAAAGCAGGTCTATATGAAGCAGATTGGTATTATAAAGCAGGTTGATAGCGTAGTTCAGGTTGATATGAAGCAGGTTGGTAATAATACAGGTTGGTTTGCATAGTAGTTCACGTTGATATAAAGAATCTTCGTAGCAGGGTTAGTATTCAACAGGATGGTAAGTTCACAGTAACCAGGGACAGAAGTCTTTTTAGGTTGACCATCAACTTCAATCTAAAGGCCCTGTATTGAGCAGGGTGTAGGATCTGTAATTAGTCCAGGCAGGTGAGATGAGCCAAGGAAAGTTCAGAGCTAGTGGTTAGGGGGGCCACTAGTGGCAAAAACATAGTTACTGCAGGAACAAATTTCAGTGAAAGGCAATAAAGTTCTGGAATTAGGGTTTGGATCCTGACATTCATCATCTTTGGGCAGCATTTTCCAGGTGGTGGCAAAAAAAGCTGCCCCCAAATGCCCAGGGTAAATGTCTTGTTAGCCTTGCGTCTAAGATTCCAGGCAGGCGGGCGGCTAAGTAAAAATCCGTGCAGGCGGCGCTGGCTCCCGGGATCACTCTGCGGGCGGCGCGCGAGGGAGCTGAGCAGAGAGCTCTGGGGGAAATGCTCCCTCGCAAGCGCCGCCCGACCGCCCAGCAGCCACTGGTCCCCCAAGGAGAGGAAGAACCCCACCCCCCCACCCCAGCATTCCCAAAGGTAAGGAGGCTGGGGGGGTTAAATTTAAAAAAAACCCACACAAGTGAGTGTGTATAGTGAGTGTGTGTCTGTGTGTGTATGTCTGTTAGTGTGTGTCTGTGTGTATGTCTGTTAGTGTGTGTCTGTGTGTGTGTGTCTGTTAGTGTGTGTCTGTGTGTGTGTGTGTGTGTGTGTGTGTCTGTGTGTATATGTCTGTTAGTGTGTGTGTGTCTGTTAGTGTGTGTCTGTTAGTGTGTGTCTGTGTGTGTGTGTGTCTGTGTGTATGTCTGTTAGTGTGTGTGACTGTTAGTGTGTGTCTGTCTGTGTGTGTGTATGTCTGTTAGTGTGTGTTTGTGTGTTTATGTCTGTTAGTGAGTGTGTGTGTGTTTCTGTTAGTATGTGTGAGTGTGTGTGTCTGTTAATGAGTGTGTGTCTGTTAATGTGTGTGTCTGTCTGTTAGCTAGTGAATGTGTGTGTGTGTGTGTGTGTGTGTATGTGTATTTAGAAGGTGGGGCAGGGGGGAAGGGTTGGGGGTTTGGTGGGTACCTGAGTTTTGTCCTGCCTAGGGCAGCACAAAACCAGGATACACCATTGGGCAGAGACGGACCCAACTCAGAGGGACCTTGGCACTGAAATAAGGCAAGTGTTTAAATGTTTTTTTTTAACTCTTTAATTGCCTGGGGAGGTGACAAAGGAACAATGTAGTGTTAGCAATACAGCTTCGTATTCCTAACACTATAGTGTTCCTTCAAGAACTATTTAATATAAATTTGGTCTATTCCTGGCACCAATGGACAGATGTAACTAACACAACCTTGACGACATTGGCACTCAGCCATTCAATGACAAAAGTGACATTTTTAACGAGTAAGCATTTATTTCGCATTATCATCGTGGATGATTTGAGGGTGGTTTAGTAATGAGAAGTGCCAGAGCTTATTAAACCAAGAAATTTGAAATTTACCTAGGGGACAATGGACTAAAGGCAAAATAATGTAAACTCCAAACATTTTTAATTTATGAATAAAATTGAGCTATCCTTGAGTCTATATGTCAAGCAGTGTCTATGTTAACATGCAATATACACAATATCTCTGTATATTCATCTTGATTCATCCACTGAGCAAAAACAATTCTTGGATTTACACTGGGACCCACGTGAGTTACAGTAGTCACTTGGTAACAAGCCCCAAGGGCTGTGATCTCATCCAGCTGTGTCCCCTTTCTCACACAGAAGCCCTCTCTCTCTCTCTCTCTTTAAGTTAATATTTCAGCCCAGTGTTATAAACCCACTTCTTCATAAAAGCGTATCAATTAAACTGTTAACAGCTCCCGATTGATTGCTCTCTTGCAACTGTCATTAGTCTAATACTTCCCTTACCTTTTGTGTCACTTTACCCCACTCCCTCTAGCATGTAAGCTCATTGAGCAGGGCCCTCAACCCCTCTGTTCCTGTGTGTCCAACTTGTCTGGTTACAACTACATGTCTGTTCGTCCACCCACTGTAAAGCGCTGCA